GAAGAGGGGAAGAGGGGAAGAGGCGATGTGAAGGGGTGATGTGATGTGATATGTATGTATGGGAGGGAAAGGGAAACAAAGTAATACGTTGCTAGTCGTCCCGTCCCGAGCCGAGCCGTGCGGCGCTGCGCTCCAATCTCAATGTGGTACTGTGTAGTACTGCCAGTGTGTCTGCATTCCTAGAGAGAGAGTGTGTGACTGGAGAGGATAGCGGGGTCAAAAGCAACTTGCAACTTGCGACATGCTCGGATTCGACGACAAGCGTTCAATAGCTAGGTGGGAAATTGAAATTCATTAATCTTCATCATATGCCATACATGCACCCTCCCAATACCCCCAAAGCAAACAAACAAGCAACGCCTCCACCGTTCCTTTCCCCAGCATCGCTCATGCGGCTGCGACTTGGCGAATGTAATCCTTATTCTCAATCGTGACACTCTTCGTCATGTGATTGACCTTGTAAACCCCCACCAACCTAGACGCGAGCTCAAACATGTTATTCCGTAGAGAGATGACGATAAACTGAGCGTTCTTCGTCCGTTCCTTGATATAACTCGCTACGATAGAGACCTGTGTGTTACGTTAGCAAGTGGGACTTTAGGTAAGGGGCGAGTGAGGGTCTTACGTTTCTGAAATCCAACGCAGCGTCTATTTCGTCCATGACATATAGCGGCGTGGGCTTGTAATGATGTAGAGCGAATACCAGCGCTAGACTACTCAGGGTCTTCTCACCACCGGATAGGTTGGAGATGTTCTTCCAGGACTTCTTGGGCGGCATGACGCTAAAGAGAATACCCTCAGAAAAGGGGTCGAGAGAATCGACCAGTTCGAGTTCGGCATTACCACCCATGGTAATCATCTGATACATTTCCTTTAGACGGAGAGAAATGGTGCTGAATCCCTCCATAAAGCCTTCAAGACGAAGACGTCGGAGCTCGTCGCATCGCTTCTTTGCTGTATCGCGTTGACCCACCGCACTCTGAAGATCCGCGTTTCTCGCTGCGTATTCCTCAACTCGTCGCCGGTATTCTGCTAGCACACTGAGCTCGACGTTCACATTTTGGGTCTTCTCTTCCAAAGCGGCGATCTCGGCTTTCAACTGATCCTTATTCATATCGGCAATTTCATCCTTGGTGTAAGATGGAAGCTCTTCAGGAGCAATCTCTTCACCAAGGTCACTGACGTTTTGAAGAGAGAGCTTGCCAAGTTTCTCATTCCAATACCTCAAACGCTTCTGGTTCTCCCCAAGCACCTTTTGGTTTTCCTCAAGCTTGTTACGCATCTCAATTTCGACGGCACGGGTCTCGTTGAGAGCGGCAGTCTTTTCGTCGAGTTCGCTCTTCAAAGCAGAAAGGTCCTTCTTTTTCCCCCGAAGAGCTTCCTCAGCTTCGTCAACCCGAGCCTGAACCCCTTCAGCATTTGAGCTCTGGTTCTGGATGTCTTCTTCCAAAGCCTCCAAATCTCTGACCGCAGCCTCGAGATCTTTGGTGGCCTTTGCATAATCCTTCTCTTGCTTGGTCTTCTGCTTTTCGGCCTTTGCTCGAGTGACTTCGGCTGTTGAGACGGCCTCATTCAGACTATCGATTTCTGTCTTTAAAGCATCTACCTTTGATCTTTGTGCGCGAAGTTTCTCACCACCCACTTCCATGATCTTGTCCTGCAAAGCTTTTATTTCCTGCTCAACACTGGCAGTCTCGCCGTGCAACTTGTCAATCTCTTTATTGAGCTTGGCAACTTCCTTTTGCAGAGATACCACGCGACCGTCATCTGTCTTCGAAGGCTGGTGCTCCTTGCTTAAGTCCTTGATTCGTCGTTGAGCATCTGCCAAGTTCCTTGCAGAACTTTCAAGCTCGAGCCCGAGCTTTTGCATCTTTGTATCGAGGCGAGGGATCTCATCGTTGAGATCGCGAAGCTTCGTCTCAAGATCACGTTGGCGATCTTGAAATTTCTGGAACTCGTGCTCCAATCCATCTCGGTCGATCTCGAGTTTTGCCACCTGCTCTTTCGATGTATCTGCAACAAGTTTGGATGACATCAAGCCTTTCTTGACACTGTTGCCACCTCCAGACATAGTACCAGACTTGTCAATCAATTGTCCGTCGAGAGTGACTACTCGCCACCGTTTGGCACCATAGGCGATGCGGTTTGCCTGTGCTAAATCCTTTGCAACAAGAGTGTTTTGTAGCGAGTGGAAGAAGGCCGGTCGGAACTTCTCGTTCTTGGCCTTGATTAGGTCAAAGAGACGAGGAACATTTTCGGGAGTCTCGATTTCCGACAGGTCTCTATTTCCAAGCTTGTCCAGACACATGAAATTACCCCTGCCAAGGTTCGTTTTCCGGAGATACTCGATGCATTGCTGGCCTCCTTCCACGTTGTCGGTGACAAAGTTGTCAAGCGCTCCACAAGCAGTAGAAATAGCAACATCATATCTCTGATCAATGGTACCCAAATTTCCTAGTCGGCCGTGGAAACCTTCAATTCGACCAGATTCCTTCAATCGCATCAAACCCGTTAGTACATTTCCCTGAGTCTGTGTATTCGAGAGACTGGCACGAGCCTCATCAGCCTTTTGACGTGCGCCAGACAGTCGAGATCGAATCTCTGGCTCTTTTTGTGACACCTGGGTTAGCTCAGTTTGAACTTTGATGGCCTCCTTCTCCAGCTTCTTCCGCTCTGACTTGCACTCTTCGAGTTCCGCGAGCTTAGCTTCACGGGATTCTTCAATGCTGGCAATTTTTGCTTCGGTCTCTTCAAGGGCAACGGAACCAGCGTTAGCTTTCTCGTGCAAGATAGCAAGCTCACTCTCAGCAACAGCTATGGCCGATTGCTTCTGGTTGATTTTCTCGTTCCATGGTTCCAGAGACTTTTGCTTTGCGGCGATCTGATCTGAAAATTCTTGCGTTTTGCCCTTAAGACTATCTCGAATGGTCGTCAGTTCCTTCTCCTCGACTTTCATTCGCTTCTCCATGGCGGTTATTTCTTGGGCAGATTGCTCGATTTCGGTACTGCAAGTTTCAATAGTCGATTCCGCTTCAGCCGTAGCATTCTCTGCTGTACTGATGGCTTTCTCCGACTTCTTTTGCTTGCCTGTCAGAAACTTTCTCTTCTCTTCAAATTTCACATGCTCCTGGTCGAATTTGGCCATCTCCTTGACAATAGCTTGTGTGTCCTTGTCGAGGGCTTCGTATTCCTTTTGCCCTTTCTTGTACTGCTTCTCGAGCTGCTTAATCCCGTCTTCGTTGCCTTGGTGCTTTTCCAGCTCAGCGTCGAGTTGTGCTTGCATCTGGCCAATAGCTTCTTCCGTGACTGCAAGATTGTCTCCGCACTCGTTGATATAGACTTGGTACAGACCACATTGCTTTATTGACAACTCATTCTCATCTTTGATGTAAGCAAGAGCCTTGTTTTTCTTGTCTTCCAAGCCGTTCTTTTCTTTCTCGACGTGCTGGACGCGTCCACTTTTCTCGGCGCAGACTTCGTTGAGGGTTTCAACTTCGGTTGCTGATTCCTCGATGGGGGTTTTATACTTGGAGGTACCAATGATATCCTCGAGATATTCGAGAAGTCCGTCATCATGCTCATTTGCAGCTTTAGGCTTCATCTGAGCAATTGATTCTACTTCTCCCTGGAGAATCAGAAATCTTTTATGGTCCAAATCGACTCCTCTGTCTTTAAGCAGAGTAGTGACTAGAGTGAAATTTGACTCCTTGCCATTCATATAGTATTTACTAGAGTTGTTCTTGAATGCACGACGTGAAATCACAAGATCAGAATTGGGCATAATCGTGGGTGTTCCATTTGGCTGCTTTCGAGTCAGTGCAGTGTTCTAGCATAGTTTACTCATACAACGTACCTGGTCCATGACTTCCTGGAAGTGAACTGCTACCTCACAAAAGTCGAGGTCTGGAAATGCTGCAGAATTGTGAATCAGAGCAGATATCTTGCCCTGTCTCATCTTGCTTGCTCTGAATCCAAACACGAAAAGGAGAGAGTCGATGACGTTTGATTTCCCGGATCCATTGGGGCCAACAACGGAAGAAAAGGATGAATGGAAAGGCCCAACTTCCTGGCGCCCAGCGTAACTTTTAAAATTGGTGAGGATCAAGTATGTAATCACTGTTCGAGGCTTAGGACCAGTATCCTCTGCTACAGGAATAGCCATAGAGCGTGACTTGAGCACAATATCCATCGGCTTCTCCAAAACAGTATCTAACGGCCGGATAGGCATCACCATTGTATCTTGGCTTTCAGCTGTTCGTGGCCGATCATTGAGAGTCTCTGTGATGTCGGCAAGTGGAGTGACTTGTAATTCGGATGGTTCAGGTGACTGTGATGGCTGCGGGGTAGGCAATGGTGGAGGAAGCTCTGGTGTTCTAGAAGAACGACCCCCTCGAACAGGCGCACTCTTTCGCTTCCGTGGCGATGCTTTCTTGGAGGGAGACTCTGGCTCAGCTTTCACTGTTTCCTCTGGGTCAAAGATCTCAGAAGGTTCGATATTTTCCTTCGCAAGGCTCTTTTTTGCGCGCCCCCCAGTACGAGGCGTGCTCGCAACGACATTCGTAGTCTTTCGTCTCGAAGCAGGCGCTTTTCGTGGACTTCGTTTGGGAGCTGGTGCAAAGTCCGGCTCACTATCCTCTTCCACCTTGGCCTGCATAATTTCATCATCGTCGTCGGAGTCCTCCACGACTATTTTCCGTCTGGCTGCTGCTGCCCGCCTGGTCGGCCTAACAGGCGATTCAGACATCTGGATATCTGGTGCAAGTTGTGGTGCCGACAGCCTGGTTTTTTCGAGGATAACGCGTTGATTCGCGCAACTTAGCCGATTGGTAGTTTCAGCCGAGCAAATTCCAAAACCTGAGATTCCAAGAAGCCGTAAATATCGGATAAACGCGTCGAATAAGGGTAGAAAGTCGTGGAATCGAATGTCGAATGTAATGTGGTTGGTTGTAATGTTGACTTTCGGCGCTCACAGGATAAACAATGATATGGCGCTAAGATAAGATAAGCGATCGCGAATAACTTCAACCCAAACATCCATCCGGGTGTTGAGCATCTTTCATTGCGCCTCGAAAGAAACAAGATGGAGCTCGATCGGCTTCCAGATGCGATAACAATATTTAATTACCAGAATTTCGACGAGGTCTTCTATTTCGACCCCGAATGTTCATATGACGAAGATGTGGTCGAAGAGATCGTGCAGAACAAGAAGGATCTTGAGGTGCAATTTATCGAAAGTGTGATGAAATTGTTAGGAATAAAGAGACGTGAGTAAAGCCTTGTGGCCCCATGTCTTTGAGCGCATACTAACCTTCTCTTAATAGCCTCGAAATACTATCCTCCCAAGTCAAACAGCGATCTCAGACACCTCCATAAAGCTATCGTCGAGAGTTCGGGTTTGGAGCATCATAAAATTTCCGTACTATACTATGTACTTCTCAACATCGATCTTCCCACGGGGAGGAGAGTTTACTCTTCCGAGTTTGAAAGGAGATCTTTCCTACCTGCGAAATACTCAATATACATGAAAGGGTTATGGCATCTGGACGGACAGGAGTTCAAGGTTCGTCTCATGTCACCAATAACGGCGATTCGCTAACAAGTATTAGAAAGCTTTGGAATATTTGACCCATGCATCACTGATACCTACTTTCCAGGACGATATTGTAGAATTATTAGTACGGAAAAACGAACTGCATCTAGCGCTGGCTTATTACCACACGGTCCAACCAGTCTTGAATGAATCAAGAGCGATTCAGTGTCTCTTTAGAGCAATTGCGACAAGCAGTGTTACCGAAGCATTCTATTACTCCAGGAGCCAACCAGAAAATACTCGAAGACACCTATTCGAGTTTCTCATCTCTCTCGTCATCCACAACTCGCCGAAAGCAACGATTGCTGATCGAAGTGTTGAGCTCGTCAACTTGCCATTTTCCGACGAGGAGGAAGCATGGTTCGAGGAGTATCTGCTTCAAGGCGATGGTCGAGGACTTAGCAAGGGCAAGGATACGCTGATGATGAGGAAAATCGGGACTGGCAAGTTCACTGAATCATTGGCCATGAAGGGCGCGAATGGCCGTGCTATCGGCGGTCTGGACTGGCGCACTCTATCGGAATCTATTCGGGATGGCTTAGGACCACGGTGATTGATATAAAGGGGCGTGTTTGACTGTAGGGAACTAGGGTGTAACTAACGCGGGGATTTGGCAAATATGTGATGGAACAGCGACGTTGAGTTTCCGCGATTCTTTATGTACGATACCCACTACAGAGCAGTTCTGGTTTTCAGTCTTATATGCGGCTGATAAATGCATAGCGTAGCATAATGAGAGTTGTTTGCTTAAACGCTAAATGTAATCAACCTCATTGTCCTATCTTCTTCTCTGTGTTCGCTAAGAATGAGTGTATATGTGGTGCCAGCACGGCTTCCTCTGGAAGCAGGTATATTTACCACACGATATTTGTCACTAGAAAAGTCTGGCATTTTAATGTACTTTAAGTAAAGATATATTTCAACATGATGTGCATTTTCCTGAACATTCCAATCATCATAGAGTCACTAATAGGGGCGGGTATTTTTACACATATCAGAGGAATGTACCTCTGAATATTTCTCGATGCGTGCTTGCTTTTCTCTCAGCTCCACAATTTGGCATTTCTAGGACTACCATCTTTGCATGTAGACGTGCTATACGTCTAAGTTGGGCCTACGATACGCCAATCTCTAACCTTTGCTCTTCAGCATAGCGCATAGCCAACAACTCATTCAATTTTATCATTTACCGCCTTTACTCTACTACCAAACCCCGCATTATAACCCCGCCGCCGATTAGACACCTACGCCTACCTTCTCGACATCACTACACCCTCCTTCCAGTCCCAAAGTTATATGTTTCGATCCCCAATATCGCTAGTTACTGTACATCTCGCAAAGATTTCAAGCCTCAACGTACGTTCTCTCTATGCGGTCCACGCTACAAGGCTTGCCAGGTGCGAAGCATGAGTCACAGTGACATTTGATCTGCATAAGGGCACCGCAAAGATGGGCTAGAGCAAGCTCTTCATGCTTTCTAGGTACGTGGGCATAAGTAGCTTTTCTAGAGCACTTGAACTAGAAATGCGGTCACGTGAATGCGAGAGCCATCCATGTCATTGACATAGTATAGTATAGCTTCAACGATAGTTCTAACTTGATGAAAGAAGCCGAAAATTAGGGACATCTCTATACTACAAGCCCACTTCGCAGATCCGAGATGTCGGGTCTGGTGTTGGTCAAGTGATGGTATATAGAGTTTCTGTGCATCGGATTCGGAAAGAAATCACTCACTGAATCGAGATCCAAACAACTCTTAGGTATGTACATCAGCTAGCTATACCTATACCGTACAATGCCGTGATTAACAGGACGGTAGAGTTCAGCCACAGTTCTCCGTACTTAGAAGTCCCTAAACTTACTTGCAACGATGAATCCCTGACGGACCTAACGTTAATCTGCGGAGATGACCTATCCAGAAGTACCTGTTCGTCACCCGTCGATCATCCAGTCAACACCACCGATAATCTCTTTCCTGTCTCGGGATAGATCCCTGTGGCGCTGAGCACACTTCCCTTTCACCACACTGTGGCTTGGAGGAGCCCTCCCTATCGAACCATTTAGTTCTAGCCACGAGCCACCGGCCCTCGAGCTATTTTATACTTACAGTAGAGCAGCGTGGTTTGCACGTTGGTCCTTCGCCGCCACACCTGCGCGTGGGAATGTCCGGGTCATTTCTTTCTGACTGTGCCACAGTTCACTTCATTTTACGGACTTCACTTACTGAACATCACCCCACCTTCTCACTACAGTATAGTACGTTTAGTCTAGTCTAGTCTCTCTCTTCCAGACCGACCAACTTGCACCCTACGACATGCACTTCCTCACATGCCAATGCCAATACCCATCATGCCTTACAGTACCCAAGCCACACCCAAGCCAAGCCATACCATACCATAGTCCCATGTACCTACCTACCTACACATACAAAACAGAGGCTGTCCCGCTCCCGCTATGCAGCAGCCAGATGCAATGCGCTGGCACTTGATCACCCCTTCCCTTCCCAACCGACGCCCAGCCCGCCCGCACAATTGATCTATATCAAGACGAACACAATCCTTGACCAGCTGTACGGGGCGAGGCAGCGAGCAAAGGGGGAAGGACCGACTGATGAATTGCCGTAAGACTTTCTCACTCCATCCCATCTCGTGCGTCCCTGACAGCTTCGTTTTGCCGCCGAGCTGCCTCCATAGCTCTAGACTCGACCATCCCATCGTTCTGGGTTGCAAGGGGACCCGAGGGAAATGAAAAAGCAGCGAGACCCTCGTTCGTTCGTTCGTTCGTTCGTCCGTCGGTCGCTTAGTCTCTATCTACAGTAACAACAACCGACAAACCGTTAATTTAAGCCGGATCGTCCAATACCTTGGGAGTCGGGACCTACTTGCCTCGATCATCTTCTCCCACGTCCACATCCGTCCCGTCGTAGCACAACACAGCACAACCCTTCGAGTCCAGTCCAGTCCAACCTCGGGACCGCACCGCGTCGCGTCACGTCCAAAACCACCAACCCTACCCTCCCTACCTTACCTTACCTTACCAGGCACTTTTTCACGGCAGTTAGAAACGAAATAAGCTTACTCTCTTACGTTTTGCTGTAGCTACTACTTGTCATACCTACCTACCTTACCCACCTTTTCAATCCTTCTGAACCTCTTGCATCCGATTCCCATCCCCATCCCATGCCATTCCCGCGAATTCGGAAATAGGCTACCAGCGCCAGCTTAACCCCTCCCCTCCCGTACAGAAAACTCCGTACACTCGCCACTCCTAACCCAAACCAGCCATCATGCGTCGATCCCAGTGTGGCTGAAGCGCAAATCATACATACACTATGATCGGCTCTGCGGGCAAGTCTGGCCTAGCCCTCCCTGATCGTCGCGCCCTCGCGCTGCCTGCGGGGGAAGAGAAGTGATCGATCCGTCGTCATGGACAATGTCAGCCAATCAATGCACGTCTTCTCCTGACGACGACGCGGCGCGCCTCCGCCCGAATCGTCCTACCGTCTAGGAGTAAAAAAATTGAAAAATGAAAAATGAAAAATGGAAAAGGAAATTCAGGGACGAATAGTGGAGAGGCTTCTGATTAAAGTTTGACATGTTTGGAGTGACAGCCGTTTGCCGTTTTTCTTTTTTTAAGTCGTGCTTGAGTGCTGCTAAAGTAAAGCTCAGACTGTATCGAGTGTTAGTTAGTACACTGTGGCGCCGGTCGAGGCTTGAGATATTTCCCGGGTGGGAGATTAAGTCGGAAAAGGCACGGTAGGTAGAAACACGTAGGTAGGTGATGGATATATGGAGATGTGAAATCGGATATTATTGTTTGTATTTGCGGTTTAATTTGCATCTTGCTTGGTTGCTGCCCCTGCCATGCGAATTGAAGCCATGCCATTGATCAATCAAATACCCCAAAATCATCCATCCATCCATCCATCCATTCGTATATATTTTCTTCTTCATCTTAAACTTCTGGCGGCTTCTGTGATAACGCCCGCCAGAAATCAAGATGATTGATCAATCAAAAAAGAATCGTGTGCGTCGTAGCCTCCTTATATCATGCATGCATCTATCTTGTCCCCCGATCCAGCCTATCGTGTACGTTGCTCATGATTGATTACAAACAAGCCCAAGCCCACCATGAAAATGAAATGAAGGTTCAAAAAAAAAGAGAATGGGTTTGGGCCCTAAAGTATATGCGAGAAGAAGGGAGAAGTTCCCGGGCCAGTAGAGCCTGAAAGCCTAAAAGCCTTCCATAATATGTACGGCATCGATATCGGCATCAGAAATATGATAACCGCCTTCACGCACGGCCTTGAACCGGCATTTTACATGTATGTGCGCGGATCTCGAGGAAATGGTGTTCCAACGAATGGAACTGGTATCTTAGAAAGCAACTTGACGCCTTTGAAAACAGTTCTCCCGCCCACCCTTAGGTCAATACATGATGACGGTCGTAACAATTACATGACCATGTTGGGGTCGTTGGGTATAAAGGTTAAAAAAAGATTAAGAGAAGTAGAGGGGCAAAAGAAACCAAAAGTATTAAAACATTAGGCGAAGTTCGTATCCCTCGCTTTGGATTATATTCTGAGTGCCGCTGGGGTTGTCGCTGTCAACACTGACATCGGGCATTTCCCATTCGCGTTTGACCTCGCCTTGGATTTCGGTAATCTCCATAATAAGGTCCTGGCCTTCGGTGATTTCGCAAATAACATCATCGTCCATTTCGACCTCAAGACCACGGTCGAGGATATGGAGAGTTCGTAAGATCCTTGTTGGTTCCATGTTCCATTTGGCCGCAATGCTATTTGTGAAATCCTTCAGAGTTCTCTGCATCAGGTACACAGCCTTGTAATACTCGTGCTTTTCTGGCTGAGTCGGATCGCGATGAAGAATATAGAAGCAGGCCGCAGGCTTAATAACACGTTCCACCACGGGCGGTTTGTAGGAAGAATCAACTCCTAAAGCTTCGATCCAACCACTTAAGCTTCCGGCTTCATCGGTTTTGGGAACCTTTGTGAGTTGATCCGGTGGGCTTGCGAGCTGCTGAGGATTCGACGAGGTTACATCTGCCGGTGCCAACGACTGAAGATCCCATTGGCCGCCAGTATTCGTTGAAGTGCCAATTGGACCCTGGGACTGCAGGGAGATGGAACTCGGGGAAGGAGAGACAAACGATGAAGTTCCGGCTGTAGAGCCATCGCTAGTCCTCTGTTGCCATAAATTGCTTCCTCTTGAGTCCACCTTGGTCAGATCCAAAGGCTCACCGACCAGAGCGACTGGGTGAAGATCTGGATCGTCCTCTTCTGATCCGCGGAGATATAAGATACTAACTGGCCTCGTGCTTGTGAACATGTCTTGCATAGTTTGAAGCTTAAAATGGAGATCCTCTTCAACGGGCAACCTTGCTCCGCCAGAGGATGCTGATGACATTGACCATGTTCTCTTATGCTTTTGAACTTTGCCCGGGCGCTGACTGGGTTGCACTTTGGAGATCGATCCAGTTCTCTTCCGTTTACCAAAGTCCTTCATGCCAGTCTCGGCCTGAGCAATCTGTTGCTGGAGCTTGTCGATTGTCTTTTTCACGTGTGCGACATCGTTCGAGAGCTTCCGTTCCGCTCCATGGTCTCTGAAAAGCTTGACTTTGCAAAACGCAACCTCGGAGTCTTCCGTGCCGGCGCGAGGCGAGCCGCTTGAAATAGTCTCGGTTTTCGCGCAAAGTCGCACAGGAATCCCCTTGACACCCTTGGAATGGCTAAAGTCAGTGGAGAGGAAGTTGAACCGGACAGCAATATTGCATTCTGAAGAGCCGTTCGCGCCAGGTGTCCATACAACCGAGAACCCATCGAAAGATGCGGTATCCAGATCTACTCGAGTCCTCTTATCATCACTCTCTGCAGGCTGGTTTGCCTCAACGTACTCGACCGCTTGGAGCTTGCCTCCACGTTGATGAGCTTCGTTTGTTCCGCGACCCTCCTTCCATAACTGCCAACAGGTCCCAGGCTTTTGTCGCTGCTGCTCGTCCTCGAAAGAAATCCGTACGAAAGTTCTGTATTTCGACCCGGGGGGTAATGGCGTTGCGGGAGCAGTGTCAATAATAGAAATTGAATATGCCTGACCCTTGTTGAGATAAGTGATGGGGATTTCATCAGTATGTTTGACCATGGCGGTTGGGGCGTTCATAGTAACATGGAAGCGAAACTTCTCCGCAGATGGGGGCATTTGGGCAGGCATTGCCGTATCGTAATGTGTAGGCTGGAAAGCCATGACAGGAGAATGATGCTGCAGATTTGAACCCATTGATCCCATGCGTTCCTCATCGTCCATAGGCGACCCATCGTGGTCCATTGTCTCATAACCTGTGTCCTGGTGTACGAAAGAAGAGGGCGCGAATGAATCCTGCTGTGGCTGCTGTTGATGGTGATGATGCTGTTGGTGGCCAAATGGGTTATAACTGTGAAATTGGGGATGCATTTGGTGACCAAATCCAGACATATCCATCATGGTGCTAGTATGAAGCCCATCAGCAGAGGAGGGCATAGAAAGAGGGGTTCCAAGACCCATGCCCATGCCCATCCCAGGAGTATGTAGATCACCTGCAGCCTGGCTGTGATATAATGTGTTTGTACCGCCTGGAGTAGGGGTATAGTATCCAGGTGGCTGGTTTGCGAAATTGGAAAAGGCAAATGAGTTCGGATCAAGGAGAGAAGGCGTGAAGCGCCATGGCTCGTTCTGCGCTCTAGGCGTAGGATCGAGATCTTTTATATCCTCATGTCCTAAACTGTTATGTCTGTAGATGAGAAGTGTCAGCAAATTAACGATTAGAACTCATGGTGAGGAAAAGGGTATTGGTAGCAGAGGGTTTGAAGGCAAGCTAATTTAGCTTGGGAGAAGGCGTATGGTATATGCTTACTTTAGATCTGGTAGTGGCCCGCCGGCGACTGCCACGCCAAGAGTATTTCCAGAACTTGACCCCGTCGTTGTCGTTGCGACCTCTGGGAAACTTTGGCGGAAATTTGCGATGAACTCATCGCCTGGCTTTTGTGAAGACGTCCTGGTGCGCGAAAAGGTCAGCTCTGTATTGCTTCCAGTTTCCCCCAATCGCGCAACAATGTAGATGCATAATGTCTAGGCGCGCAGGCTGCATCTTTCATAGCTTCATTTGGGTTCTAGTATGCTTACCGATTGCGAAACATCTGGAGATGTGTGAGTGAGCTAGGTACAGCTCATCTATTTTGAAGACGACAGCTTGGCCGAGCTACCTTCAAGTGCGGATAGCTGAGATGGGTCGTAGATGTGTATGTGTTTCGGTAGAATCATGTGAATCTGACTGACTGATTGATGATGACGTCCAAATGACCAAGTAGTGGTAGTAGCGAGCGTGAGGGCAATGGACGTCGTCAGTCCTTTTTTTTTTTGGTAGCGTAGTGAAGTACTCGTAGCACGGTGGAAGAAGAGGTTTATATTATATGGCAGAATGGAGTGCAACGACGGTAAGTTCCACTAAGATCTCAAAACAATGACAGGGGGGCGCCGTGGGTCTAAGGGTCCATACTACGAGTACGAGCTATAGGTGTAGTATAGTGTCGTAGAAGTGGGAGGGGAGGGAGGGGAGGGGAGGAAGTGCAGAAATGGAAATGGAAGTGGAAATGGAAGCGGAAGTGGAAGTGGAAGTGACGCCTTGGGTCCCTGGCTATAACAGCTAGGGAGCGGAATAGCAGATGCAGAATACTAGCAGAATAGCAGCAGAGGTACCTTGGGTACGGTAGCAGAATCAGTAAGGGGACATGTATCTAGTACCTACTCCGTAGTGAGGTACCACTTAGTTGTTCAAGGGAGGGGGGTCGAGAGGGTCTAGCTGGGGATTGATAGCGCTATACGCCATGTGGGGACCGCCCAAAAGCCAGAACCAGAACCAGCAGAGCCAGAGCCAGAGCCAGAGCCAGAGACGGAGCCTAGTGCGTGTCCGCGTCTTTTCCATGCTCGAGCCGACTTGAAAAAGCAGCGTTGATCGCCCATCGGGGAAGACAGCGCGGCCTCAGCCACCGCCAGTCCTTATCGGGAAACGATTCCCCCCAAAGGTGGCGAGCGCCTTACAGGCAAGATGCTGGCGAGGCTGGTTCACCTTTTTGTATGCGAAAGACTCTTTGGCACCACACAACTGAAGAGAAGTCCTTTTGGGACACAATGCCCATAAGGTAGGATTACAATAGAATAGGTACATTTCTTGTCACGCCGGGAGTAATAATATATCAACTCACAGCTGCCAGTCAACCAATATCCGGTACCCAAGCTGAGACACGGGATATGCCATTTGGTTTCTCTCTTTCTCCCTTTGTGACTCTCTACATAGGCGCCCACGTTCTGTAGTGCGACCATCCGTGGTGGCGTTTGCACAATGCAATATGCCACCAGGAGAACAATGGCGATGATGAGTATCAGTATCGGTATCAATTGCCCTGGCCATCTATTACTCCATCTGCTCTACTCTGCTCTACCCAGCTCAGCTCATACGGAATTCTGATGCCGAGTTCTAACAGAATGTCTTTACAAAACCACCTAGACCGGTCCTTCATACACAGCCACAAAGCCACAAGCTTACATCGTAAGTTTGGAAGATCTCCGTCACTTCAACCCATTTCGATCTCCTTCTCGTCTAGCTTCTACAGCAATACAATGGCACCTCCATCCTTAGCAAGCTGAGATTACTATTTTAAGTTTGATAGACCATGCCGTTACTAACAAAACAAAACAAAACAAAACAAAACAAAACAAAACAAAACAAAACAAAACAAAACAAAACACGAAAAAGCCTCAACGTAACCGCAATCCTTTTGGAATAACTGGTAGTCATCTGATTGATAAGAGACCCCCATATGTGAATAAGCTTTTGGTAAGATGGGATGGGGATGGGCCTCCATGCTCCGAAGACTCACCGGGACTTATCAAACGTACTTCAGTATCAGGCTAGAAGCCCGCCAGTAGGAAACAACTTCTCTTCGAGACATAGCCTTACCGAAACTTCACTCTCCGTCTCCGAGATTACCTAACTACTTCGTGCTCCGTAAGGGAAATCGCAACCGGTTGATGAAGGCAAATCTCCCGAAGCACGTCTTTAGCCCGTACGCGTTTCACACTTCCAGCGGTATAGATATGGGCAAATTTGAGGGGAATGTCACATCTGCGCCAAATCCCACATCATTTCGCGGGTGACGGGGTGGCAGGGTACCCCTGCAAAAGACCAGATCTTAACTCTCGCATCGGGATCTCAATTTTAACCATCCAACTCTCAAATGCGATCCTTCGAAACGGGCGCTTCCACTCGCGAATAATTACTATGGGTGAACCGACGAACGAAACTATGAGCTTTCAAGGGTCCTATGATAGGGTCGATGAAACTCATGAGCCACTCTTGGTAACTGAAAATCATTTCTCCAAGAGGTTTAGATGTGGCGAGTGCTTGCGTGGCTTGAAAGCAAAGAGGAGAGTGTTTAGCCACATTGGAGCCGAGCTCCATAAGTAACGTCCCAAGCAAGAGATCCGAGAGGTCAAATTGCATGCGATGCGCGCAGAAGCTCGATGACAAGCGCCATCTGCGTCATCGATTTTCCCCTTCGCGCTCTTCACTCGGCATACAGATACAACTCGGGTTAAGTAAAAGTTATGGATTCTTTTTTTCTCACTGCTAGAGATAGCTAGCAAGGAAAGTCGTTTTTCTACCGAGTACTTATTACCATACCTCGCCTCGCACGACGCCACCACGAATCGCGATTCATCTTAGGGACTGTACGCGACTGTCAGTGCGGTCGGATTGAAGATCCAGGTCCAGACCGCCAAAGACCTCGAGTCCGTACAAATTTGGGCCAATCTGGGGTTACGCATATTCTGAAACACCCGCCAAGTGCGGCGGTCACGTTCCCTCCCATTGTTCCAACCTGTGGCTGAGTGGCGTGGTCTCCAGGCCTATCAGTAATAAATAATAGGTCTCTCTTTATATGCATCGAACCGAGAGTCTTCAAAATGCAAAATGCAAAATGCAAAGTGCAAAGTGCAAAGTACGTCACACCGCTGAAAGAAAGGAACAACTGTTGTTCTCCTCTCCTCTTTCCGCCCGCCTGTACCTATCACTATCCATTGCAACTAACTTGCCAAGTCGTGCAGTGCATGCATGCAGCACACCAGCCACAGCAGTGGCCGCTATAAAGCTTTGCAAAGTAAGCCAAGCCAAGGAGGCAAGACAAGGCTCGAATACAGTACAGATAAAGATACAGATACGATTTCGATCTTCGTCGTTTACTCCAAGATGATGCAGGAAACAGCCCACAGCCCACACCATGTTCCGGAGAGGCTGTGGGTAATACCTGGAGAACATTGGACCGCAAGTGTCATATTGCAGTCTGGCACGTTCGCTGTTTGCCACACCGTCGCCGTCGCCATCGCCATACATGAGATAGCTTTCGCAGGGTTATAAAGATAACTACCAAGGTAAGGTGATACGGGATGATCAACAGCAACGTCAAAAGCTCGAATGCAACGAATCGGAGTATATTATTTCCATCTTTTCAGTGGATGTGGATTTTTCCATCGATCTATAATCTACAATCTGCAATCGATAACTCAAGTGAGACGGATCGACAAAGAATTTTGGGGTCAGTGACATCATGTTTCTATTCAAAGTACAGTACCTCCGTAGGAAAGCGACATCACTCACATCAAGGGTCCTCCTGAGTCCTGCCGGCTACCGAACCCTTAAACGCCAAAACTCCGCACCGCCTCCCTTAACATCGCCAATGCTTTTTCTCTCCTCCAATACTCCGTAAATCTCCACCTTGAGAAATCAATAGCTTCATTCTTTACATATCTTTCAGACATGTCTCCGGCCGAACAAGATGGACCCTGGATTTTCCTCATGGATCGGAAGGTTCGCATGCATGCATACCATCGGTCCACCTTTCCCAAGCCAAGTTCCGTACTGTACTGTACAGCCCGGAGCATTCCACGGGCTCTGAGAGTACAACTGTAACCCCATCTCACCTCACCTCACCTCACCTCACCTCATCTCACACCGCAAGGTATAGTACTGTACAGCGCAGGCAGGGCCCGATAAGATGTGGGGTGGACTGGGTTGGGTTGTTCCGTTTATTTATTTGTCTGAGCTGCATCGGGCCACCGTCCCGTTCTGGGACGGAGATGGATGATGTGTATGTAGGTACGGAGCCGTTATGCTTTACCCGTGAGGTACGGTAGTCCGTCGAGGCGGGTTTGGGAATATGATATGATACGGATATGTTTGTTAGGAACCCAGGACGCGATGCATAAATTTTCAATTGTATTTTCATTGTAAAGGCGAGGATATCAATTACTGCACTGCTGTTTGTATGTTTTAGCTTGAGAGGCATTGCTTGCTTTATCATAATATCATGTTAGTAAAGAATCGAATGATCCTAGAGCCCTCAATCAAAGCCTATGTATTAAGCTTAACAAATCCCCTAAAGAATCTTCTTTCAAACACAAGCATACATATTTCCCTTCCCAATACAGAATTCCCCGAATCAAACCCAGCCCAGTCACAGCACCGTTCCTCGCTATAACATAGCCAGCTATAGCTCCCAGGATCCGCTGCAGAGCTGCGTAATCGTAGATCGTTTAATATATATATATACGGTACATATACCCCAGGACCAAGTGGACGGGATACTCGTACGTCGGAGTATGGTTCCAAGGTAGATAGATCTAATTAACCTCGGGACGCAATGCCTAAATCACTAAGAACAAAATGCAGTGAGTGCTTCCGCCATGATTCTGGTTTTTTTCTGCATGGAGAAGGAGCCGCCGAGTACCTGCATTAGATTAGTGATGGGTTGTTTCTATTGTTGTGGGTTGGGTGGGATGGGTATAGCACGATACGGTGATACGAGGCTGGCAATGGGGTGCATGTGCATGTGGAGTAGTGAGGTTAATACTCTGTGGATTGACGTTGTTGAGATGATCGTTTCTTGGGTGGGATACGGGATGGGGAATGCGGAATGCGGCTCGTGTTTTCCGTTTCTATAGTTGTGTTGTGTGTTGTGTATTGACTCGTATTTGGTTTTAGTTCCTTGATATTGATGGTTGATATATGTCTGGGATTCGGCTTATAGTAGAGGAGCCTCGTTGGGTATGTATGTATGTTTGTAATGCTTTTCAGGTCCGAGTTTTTTTTTTTTTTTTTGGAATACTAGAATAGTACGGTATACGGGGTTTTTATTTTGATAGAGCTATGTATGTCGATCTGAGCTGAGATGGATGATGTTTCGTGGGGGTATGGTATGGTTGTATTCTGGTGGTATTCCGAAGGTGGGTTTGTGGGCTTTTGGTTTCCGGAGGAGATTTTGGGGGAGGTTGGGTTGGGTTGCATGAGGTTGGTTATGTTATGGCGGGCGATGCTTCACTTGAGAGTGGAAGTTTATGGTGGACCGTGAATAGGGGAAAGGATATTTTTGTTTTGGGGGTGGAGAGGGGGGTGTAAAGGACTTTGTCTGAGTGGCTCTAATCCACCTTTTGATAGGATTGGGTCAGCCCAGTTGCTTGAACTTTGCATCTAACCTGCCATCACAGTACCATACGTGTGGGAACGCAACGTGAAATGAGATCTTGAACATGGTTAGCATCAAATAATCCAGCATTTTGAACATGTCCGTCTGTAAAGCTGAAACCGTAGTCTAGCAACCGCTCCCTCCCTCTCCCACAATTCGTACGAGAATGTACGTCCATAGTTCACGGTAGCGGCAGCGACCGCTAAACACAACATTCCCTTGCTGTTCCTCGGTCTTAAGTAGGGGGTTTGAACAAAGCAGGTAATGAAGACAATACGGCGTTGTGGAAGTTCCAGGACGACATCGCTGAGCCGGTAAAGCGGAGGCATTTCGACTTACTTGGGTTGTACAATGTGATGGCTAACGACATAGAACTCCTCTCACGTCTTCTTTTTCTTCTCCTGAGCCCCATCTAGGTGCTACATTACCCATATTAAAGTCAAACTTAGGTAAGATTTACCAGAACATATAGAACGGCTAAACTAGCACCGGCAAATCGAAGGGATTTCCTTCAAGAGCAGTTCCTAGAACTTTCGATTTCAGACGTTCTTCCAATCCGTCCTTCTCTATCACTTCACATGCAAACTGCCTTTCAATCATGTGAAATCCGGAGCATTCTAATGATTAGATTCTGAATTGCTCTCAAATGACAAGCCATTTTCAACCCTCACTCCAGGGATTCGTGAATTACTTGGGGTAATTCAAATGCTCTCTCCAACGCTCTACAGAAAGGGGTTCTGGTATGGCGCCAGTAGCATTCTAGGCCAAGCAAACTACTAATGGTCTTATTACGTTGAAGCCATCAATGAGCCACTAACTAGCCTATAGCAAGTTCTAGTACTGTGTGAATGTAATGTAGTGTACAAGTGCTATTCGAAGAGTGATACATTCAAGCCTCAAGATTTCACGGTACAGCTTTGAGAGTTTGAGAACGGTCCAACGTCAAGTAGCGGATATTGAAGGACAGGGGAAAGCGGGGAGTACGTTTAAAACTCGTGAACTCTGAAAGGACAACTTCGTCCGAGGTGTAATAAGCCCACATGCTTGAATCTCGAATATGGATGGGATACGCGGTGCTTCAAACAAGCAAGAGCCAGCCGCGCAGAAAATACATGGCATAGAGAATGCTGGAAATGAGAGTATGGATATGATCCTGCTAACACAGCCGCTTGATATATCAAAGATGACACTCAGTTGGGCAGTACATGGAAAGGACAACTGTATAGGGCAAGCAAGATCTATTGAAGCATCTGGTTCGCGTCTTTCTAGCTCGAATCTCTCCTCTATAATCGTAACGCAGTCATCTGCCCTTGAGCTCGTGATCATATGCACTTGCGACTTGGATAAGACACAGGCTCCCTTCCGAATCCTGGCGCGACCTTAGTACAACACGGCGGCGGGAGTGAGGGGTTTGTACCTCGTGGGCTGTCCGGGACGATCGATTCGCGCAGGTGAGACTTGTTGTGCTGAGCTGACCCGCATTTGATAGTGGTACTGCTCTGTTGAGGTGACCCGGGGATACCTTCGAATACATCATCATCTACTATGAGAAAGAAGTAGTAATTACCTAACCAACCTCATATGTACTCTCTTTGACCAGTTCTCCTATTTTGTGTATATCAAAGGCTACATTGCCAAGGCTCACCTCATTCGGGCTGATTAAGGCTCTTATCGCAAAACGTCACTGGCCCGGAGACCGTCAACCGTCCAGCCGTCTAACGACTATCTCGATAACATCACAACCACAAATCCTTCCTTCGTGCAACCTCAACGACTACAGCTTTGTCCTACAGCATCACTATACCTCTGTTATAATTTATACCCAATCATGGCATCGACATCATCAGGCTCTTACGATACCTCGGGGGCTTCAAACGCACCATCGACAGCCTCGGACTCGTCCTCTGTACGCGCTACTCCTACCACCGCTGCAGAAAAGCCTCCGGATGACACGTCTAAGCTTCGTATGTTCTTGGGGATTCTCCGGAAGTAAGTATAGCCAGAATTACTGTTGTCGCTGCTCTTCGAGGAAGAGGGAAGAGGGCTCGCGGTAGGGTCAAATGCGCCAAGGCTTTAGACATCCATGTTTTGAGGCGATAAGTTTGCAACCTGCGCAGATAGCAGACATGAGCTATGATGTACTTTGGTTAACATCTCTATCTATTACAGGTTCATAGGTGTTGCGGATATTGCGTCTGTGAGGTTCTCGTTGCCTTCTCAACTGTTGGAACCAACCCCGAATCTCGAGTACTGGAATTACCTTGACCAGCCAAATACATTTGTAGCAATTGGACAATCAGATGATGAGGTGGAGAGAATGCTGGAAGTATTGCGATTTTGGTTTACGAAGGATTTAAAATATGTCAAGGGCAAGCCATGCAAGGTTAGTTGGGTCCAGCGTAATATACTTGGGATAAATCTAACTAGTGTAGCCATATAACAGCACTTTAGGGGAGTTCTTTAGGGTAAGATACAACCATCCACCAGGGTTTGAACTATTGCTAACAAGTGGTAGTGTAATTGGGAAGTCGAGGCAGCCGCTCCTCCAATATCAGCCCTCAAAGCGCAAACTTCTCCAGACAGTTCAGCATCTTCCATCAAATCAAAAGCGATTTCACGAAATGTCTCCTCAAGCACACTTCCTAAACTCGAAAAATCTACCCCCATCAATGAGGCAGATTCCGAACATCCGGTCAAGGTTTCATATCTCACCGAGCAGACGTCACATCACCCTCCTGTCTCTGCGTTCTATGTGGACTGCCCCGAAAGAGGTCTCACTGCTCGAGGCTTCGACCAAATTTCCGCAAAGTTCACAGGTACCAGTGTGAGAGTTACCCCAGGAGAACACAACCTGGGTATCTTTATCACTTTAGAGAAGAGAGATAATGAGCAGTACCAGCTCACCCACCCTGCCGCTCATTTGGGAGGCTTATTGAGGGGCGCTCTTAGCGTAACAGTCGGAGACATATGTTTCGTCACCTGTCCAAAGACAAAGATCAAGACCATACTTCATTACAAGGAAGAAGGTTGGCTGGGGAAGACACAAAACAAGGTTGAAGGAGTAGTATTTCGATATGACCCGGAGAAAGACAATAAGACAGCGATAAAGGACGTTCCTGAGAAGGATGTCTTGGCTAGGATCCAAGGCAACTGGAAAGAGAAGGTCTATTTTTCTTTGGGAGCAAAATTAGTAAGTCGGCTAGCTTAACAATATCTCGCAACAAAAAGGCTGATATGGGACTAGGAAAACCAGGTTCTCCTGATAGATCTAATGCCGCTCGCTGTGGCTCCCAAACTGCTCCCACCAAAAGACGCCCAGCTTCCCAATGAATCTGTGAAATTCTGGTCTGGCGTGACAGAAGCCATCCACACAAAGCAATTTAATCACGCTACGACTCTGAAACAAGAACTGGAAGAGAGACAGAGAGAGAAGGCGAAAGAAAGAGAAGCCAAGGGAATAATCTGGAAACCAAGATTCTTCACTGGAGCCGTCACGCCTCTTGGAAAGCCCGAGCTGACGGAAGATGGAAGAGAGGTCTTAGACGGTCTGCACGAAGGAAATTTTAAATTGAAAGAAAGCGAAGTCCTTGGAGCCTAGAGTGAAGGTTGTAGAGGAGCTATGGATATGGGCGTAGAAGGTGGAGATATATTAGAGCTAGGTTCAAGGCATCATTTGAGATGAGACTATCGTTTGGGAGGCCAGCATGCACTCTTTCATATGTTCCGGGCGTTGGATATGGTCACGACGAATCATTTGCGTTCCACATTAACAGACATCAGGTTAGAGAAAGATTATTAGACTCGGTATATACTCGCATAGATGGACGATACGATGTTCATTCAGCCATAGCACCACAGATTATCAAACAAGCTTGTTAGCCAACCAGTTCATTGCGAGGAGAACTTGTAGTCTAGCGTTGAAGATAGACATGCAAGCCTTCAGAACAGTCGTATATATTTTCACACGGAAGATATATGATATCAATATGATATAACGCACCCCCCCTTTACATCTCCCTTCCTCCTCAAGCCACATACATATTACCATGTCTCTATCCACCAACATTCAAAGAACCAGCCCACGCTCCCTCGCACAAGACCTTTTAGCCCAGACAAACAGTTCATTTTCCATTTCCCACTTGAATACATTGATATAGCAAGCAAGTATGCAACATACAAGCACAACCAAATCCATCGTAGAAAGAAAACATCAAATTACATTGCTAGCCAGCTAGCTAGCTGCTAAGTTGCCCATGCTGTTACGGTTTCTGGAAGCTGGTATTGAGACAGTTAAGCTGAGCTGAAGTGCTTTTGTTTCGTTTGGTTAGAGTATATGGATTGGATTGGATGGGATGGGATGGGTAAGAGAGGGCCACGTAGGTACTGTTACCAGTGTACCGTCAAATAAAAAGAGAAGCAATGGATTCTGGGAGGAGTATGCGTGCATGTAGGGTAGGAGAGAGTTAGGAGTTTGGCATCGAGTAGGATGGTGAATGGGCTGGTCTTTGGACACAAGTATTCATTGCATTTCGTCTGAGGAGCTTTCCCGGTTCATGACGATAATTTTGTTGGACAATCAAACAAATATAAATAGTATTTATGTCATTATGTGGCATAAGTGCCGCGCTAAGCGATTCGTGTACAACAAGTTATTTTACATGAGGTTGGTCGAGGAGTGGAAATGGTAAGACAACAGTTGAAGACAAAACTAACACCCGTTGAAACATCCCTATGCCTCAACAAAGTCCTTGACGTTCGACAGCCATCTCAAGTACTCCTTCTGCTCCTTCATATCGATGTAATCTGGCACAAAGATAGCAAGTGCAGCATTGATTCCCCGCTCGTCCAAGTATCTCTCCATCATAATCTGCAGGTTCTCATCGAGATTGGCGAATGGTGGGCCGGAGTATACGTTTTGACGGCCCTGGATGCTCTCAGGGGTCTTGGCGTATGCCAATCCTGCATCAGCGTAGTAGTAGACGTTATCGATCATGTGGACGCCGTCCTGAACAACGCTCTCGACGTTCAGGGCACCCTTGCCGGCTTTCTCGATGACGATGTTCAATCGTGCTGGGTATGAGCGCTCTTGTTGGTCGCCTGTAGCCTCGCCCTGTTCTTCCTCGATTGAGTCCTCGGGAGCTTGTTTGAAAGAATTGGGGTTCCCTTGGTTGATGTTGTCCTCCTCATCGGCCATGGCGTTATCTTCGTATGGTTCTTCTCCCTCGAGGTTGTTGATGTCAGCGATGGAGAAGGTGATTTGAATCCTGAATTTCATTTAGCATTCATCGCGAAACAGCTGACAGAAGTTTTACTTCTCATCCCCAAATTGTCTTGTAAGCACGACATCCTCTACACCAGGAACATCAATGATCTCGAATGGACAGTTCTCGAGGTAGTCTTTGACGCTCGCTGGGACGCCCTCTTGATCCTTCATCTCATTCTCCATCTCAAGCTCGGCCTCAAGCTTTGCAGCTAACTCATCATCACCCTCTCCACCCTTTGATCTCCTCAGAGCTGATGATGTGAAGGCGGCAACGCTTTGTATTGGTGCTGGCTTCCATGCTGCTTGTAATAAGGAGACTCTGGGAGCTGGTCGTCTGATGGCGGAGGCTGTCAATCGAGAGATTGTTCGGGGTGCCGCACGGGCGAAGGATCTAATAGAAAGCATGATGAAAAGTTTTTATGTGATTAACGAGGAAGTTGGATGATTGATGGAATTTTGTTGATTTGATGGTTGAACATGAGATGTCCCGGTAGCTTTACTGAACTTTTTATTTTAGCGCGAGGCTCGAGAACTAGCGCTAAACGCTACGCAAGGCTGTTGTTCCCTGGAAACTCACTAGCGGTCTTGAGTGAAAGACATAATGTTCAGACAAATGATTCAGCTTATTCTATAGTGTCTGTCTGCCTATTTATTCATTCAAAAACGACGATTTTCTGCCCATACTTCAACAGTATCCCCGCCATATCACTTGCTGAAAATCCCTCAATGCCCTGCTGCAGCTCTTTTGGTATCCCCAACGCCATATAATGCCATATAATGCCATATAACGCCAATTCACGATCCTGAACCCGTCCTTCATGATTCACCTTTGGGAGGAAACTTTGCTGGTTGAACCAACCCCGAGCTCGATATCCGGACCCATTTGAGAGTAGACAAGTACGACCAGTCGCCGTCCCATCTCTCCAAGAACACGGTATTGTCTGCATCCGTAAGGTCAGGTAGGTCTGTCTGTTATCAGCTGGAGAATCCAGTGGCTGTAAAATTTCAACCTACAGAAGCCGGTCTCGTATTCCTTCTCGTCTGTTGCAATTTTTATCTTCAACAGATCTTCTCTGGTGCTTGGGGGTCTGCCCGCTCGGCGCTCCTTCTTCAGTGCATTAAACTCTTCGTCATATTGGTGCACGAAACTATGCCATGTCAGATCTTGTAGCCAGTTGTGCGATTTGGTGGGGGAATAGTACGTTTTAATGGCGGAGTGGATCGCATCCAGTTCTAATGGCTTGGAGTCGTTGTCCTGAACAAGGTCTTTAAAGAAAGCAGCTCGTACAACTGAAGAATACATCAGTCTCCATATCAAGCAAAAACAGGCAACGGCTTTACCTAATGGTTTGTCGTTCTTTCTCCTGGCTGATGCGACTCGGAGCAATTTGTCGTCTCTGTTTTGCGCTCTTCGCAAACGTTGCGAATCCCGCGAATTCTCATGCAGCGCTGTAATATTGCCCTTCTTCTTCGCAATCTTCTTGCGGGTCTTCTCCAATGATTTCGGCATGGTGTTGAGGTGGTAATGATTATTCGAACTGTTCTCCAACTTTTTTCTGCTTGGACTGTTATCAAAATCTTTATCGTTGGCGGGATTCGCTTGGCAGATGTATGTTGCGGGCCGCCAATCGGTGCATCGCGGTTGCTGGGTGAGCTTGAGCTTGGCCCTGGCTTGGTGAACGCGTCTAGGAAATCGCGTCCAGGCCAGGCACAGGCACAACCAAAGCCTATAGATATTTACAACATTTCTACAACCACAACGACGACAAACCCTACGCCCGCCTCCCGCCTTACTAACCGTACCTTTCGAGCAATTCTTTTCTTCTTTGCTTTATTTCCACAGGTGCTTTCCGCTGAAGGCTTCGTGTACGAGTAAATACATGTTTCTTCAGTGAGGGTTGTTCGTGCTTTGGGCACTTTTTGCTATTCAAAATGGGGATTCAGGGTATGCTTTCCAATCTATTATTCTACCTAAGAGAACGACATTGACTGTTGCAGGCTTGCTTCCATTACTCAAATCCATCCATAAACCATGCAACCTGAAGAAGTTCGAAGGCAAAACTCTCGGTGTTGATGCATATGGTTGGCTGCACCGGGGAACTGTAGCCTGTGCTATGGAACTTGCAAAAGGCCAACCAACAAGAAAGTAATTCTATCGATGTGAAACCCAAAGTCTCCCAGCTAAAACCTCTTAGATTCGTCGATTTTGCAATGCACCGGGTGCGCATGCTGCAGCATTTTGGAGTTACACCATTTTTAATATTTGACGGAGACTACCTCCCTAGCAAGGCAGCAACAGAATTGGATCGAGAAAAGAGAAGGGAGGAAAGCAAAAGGAAAGGACAGGAGCTTTTGAACGCAGGCAAGCCATCACAAGCATATCTCGAATTCCAAAAAGCGGTTGATGTGACCCCCGAAATGGCCCGCCAATTGATCGACGAATTAAAGGATAATGGAATACAGTATATCGTAGCTCCGTACGAAGCGGATTCCCAGATGGTATATCTAGAGAGGAAAGGCATTATTCATGGCATACTTTCTGAGGATTCCGATCTCTTGGTCTTTGGCGCAAAATGTCTCTTGACGAAGCTGGACCAGTACGGAAATTGCATTGAGATTAACAAAGCGGACTTTTGCGCCTGCAAAGAAATTACTCTCACCGGTTGGTCTGACAAGGAGTTCCGCCAAATGGCAATATTGAGCGGTTGCGACTATCTCGCTAGCATCAGCAACATGGGGCTCAAGACAGCTTACCGCATGGTTCGAAAACATAAGACGATAGAAAAAGTAATCCGCATGCTCCAATTCGACGGTAAATTCCATGTACCGAAAGGTTATTTGGAAAATTTTTACCAAGCCGAATTGACTTTCCTCCACCAACGTGTCTACTGTCCGGAAAGTCAATCTCTGGTACTTCACACACAACCTCAGGTTCCAATTGAGGAAGACAAGATGCCTTTCATTGGAAGTTATGTAGAGCCAGAGATCGCCCAAGGTGTTGCCAGAGGAGATCTGAACCCAATGACCAAGCAGCCAATTGTGGTTCAGGTTGTGACGAGGAGGAAAATGGTCAATTCGACACCTCTTTCTTCTCGCCCACAACACTTGAGATCGGCGTTGTCAAGTGATATCAAGAAGGGGAAATCAATTCAAGCATTCTTCGCGCCAAAACGCATTCCTCTTGGAGAACTTGACATCAACTGCTTCACGCCATCCCCAAGCCAACAAGACGCTCTTCGACGCAACTCTGGTCCTTGGATGTCAAGCCCAGTTCCTCGACCTTATCTCCATCGTTCAACTACCGATGTTGAATCCATCCCTCAGTCTGCACCTCAGCCTCGCAATTCAATAGGTCGCCAGACTCGAGCACCGACCATCTCCGAACCTCGGCCATCAAAACGTGTTCGCCTTTGTGCTGAGGAGGATGCAGGTACCCCAACCAGTAACATTGAGTTGGGTTCAAGTCGATTCTTCACAGCGCCAGCCCCTGAACCCAGTCCCACTGTTCGCCGAAATGCAAGGACTAAGCGAGCGGCAAAAGAAGATGTGACAATATTCTCGGATGATTCTGTTGAAGAAGCGATGCTCAGTCTCCCAGATGCCGATGGGTTTGGCTCGCAAGGGTCTAGAAGCAAGATGCAAATCTTCAGCGAGGAATCGACAACCTCCCAAGACTCGAATGGACAGAGCACCTTCGCCGAGGAGACCTCTGAATCTCAAGAAACGGCTCCAAGTCTGACTGCCTCGGCATCTTTCACCAGTATAGACGAACAACCACCAACGCCACCAAAAACCACTTCAGCACCAGCTCCTATCAGGAAGTTGAAAGAGAGGTTTAATTTTGCGGCGACTCCCAAATCTAACACCAACGTCCACGGCCTACCTACACCAGCATCATCAGCTTCAAAGCGCCCCTCGATGATTCCTATCGCCGTCAAACCTAACGTTCCAGGCGCAAAACCATCACCATTCTCCACAAACGCCAAACTGACACCCCTCCAACGTCTGGGAGCCTCCGTCATGAATAGACCCAACAAGTCCCCCATGACACCTCCACAAACGCCCCTCTTCATCACCAAACCGCCACCACGCCGCAGCTCAATTCTCTCAAAAAACAGTGTTCCATTTCCTGAAGTCGCAAGGGACCAAGAGAACACAAACGCCACCCTCGAACCAGCAGCAACCCCGCTGCCAGTCTCCGATAAATTCGAGGATAAAGCTTTGACAGGCAGCGAAGACCTGATCATCCATGACAGCGAGGACGATGAGGCTCTGTCCCCTGTTGCTCCGCGTTTGGACCTTGGAAAATTCGTTTTTTCGCAATGTTAGATGATGGATTATGATTAGCATAGATAGACTGAAGGAGTATAACGGAGTTGGTATTGCTTTGTAAATATATAATCTGGATTTGAGAAACTGGAGTTTGGAGGAGCGTATGGATAGATGGATGGGTGGATGGTTTAAGTTATATCTTTGCTTGTGTGGTAGGAGGCGGGGCGTTGGTGGCGCGGGGTCTGGCATCTGCCGACCGTTTGATTATTAGAGTATAAGAATGCACAGAAGTAACATTATAAGATTATTTCCGGTATGGAGTGATTGATGATTGAGAGTCCAGAGCAATAATGAGATGCTGGGGATTGATCGTGTTGGTTTACGTTCAATGTCTCTTTGCAAGTCCTAATGTTCTTCTCGCCCATTCCCACGGAAACGTCAAGAGTCACACCATCACATCATCACATGCAATGCACGAATTCACACTAACTAAATATTGTAATATCATTTCATAATGCAATCTCCATATAAACACAGAATGACTCCCATCACCATCCATCGTTACCCCGTCTCTCATTTACGCATGTGACCGTGAAAAGGAGGAAGATGATGAATGCGCCTACGTTGCTCCGTCCAATATCCCCATTTCCATTTCCATCCCCATTCCCATCCCCCAAGAAGCAAATGCGGATGAGCTAATCCGCCAAAAGGGAAAACATCAGAATCGTGTCGAAACGCCGGGGGTAATGCAGGTGGTGAAGAGGAAATATGATATGATAGACTCTAACATGTTGGTGTGTTTGATGGGTGGAGTAGATATGCTTCAGTGATAGAGCTGAAGGCATGGCGTTGTTGTTTTCTCAACCAACTACGTTCGTGCGGATTTTCGTAAAAGGCGCGTTGCGCGGCAAAAACATGCCCATGTTCAAGATTTGAAGTAATCGAACAAGTCTTTAGGGTGCCATGTCCAAACTTCGTTTGCAAGATTGTCGGCCGTATCTGCGAGCAAAATGACCCGGCGCTTGTTGCAATATGATGTCTTGTCCATGATTTCGACTTTCAGCTTGGAATCGGCGAGCTCCTGTACTGGCTTCTCGAACATTTCGGATAATGCCTCGACGGCCATCTCGAGATCCTTTTGGTTGTCCTCGAACATTGCAGTCAGGTTGACCTTTCCAAGGTAGTAGGCGAATGCGTAGGTCCACTTGAGGGTTTGGCGGCAGGTCTGCAGGGCTTGGGAGGCTGAGTTGAGATATTGCACTTCGATCCAAGACATTCCAGACGCTGACTGTAGCTGGATCATCTTCTTTTCTGTTTTATGGTAGATATCCTTGTCCAGCTTCGCAGATTGTTCATGATTGGCATATCGGTTGTAGTAATGGAGGTACCGCTCCAACGAGACACGGCTCTTAGCTTGTGCATCGCGGGCATCGGAACCACTCTTCTCCTCGAACCTATTGCAGTTGTACCAACTTGTTCCATGCTCAGACCAGAGTCCCATACACATCCAACAAAACTCATGCTTGCATTTCCTGCAGGTCATATGGTTGCAGCCTCCATTCTTTTCGATCGTAGAATTACACCTCGGACACTCTTTCGTATTTGCGGAAATCCAGTTTGCGGTTTCCGAGTCGTCTGCACACTTTTTAAGCCACATCTTGACTAGTTCGCAGGGAGCAGGCTGATGGTCTGCCAGAATGCATCCAAAACAGAAGCGGTGCTTGCAATCACAGGCAACTGTTGGTACAACCCGGAGGAGATCCTTCTTCTTGATTCCGCACTCTATAGCATTCGTGCAATCTGGAGCTGGGCACCATTTCAGCTGGTCTTTGTCCTCAACGTATGTTCTTGTAAGTAATTCGTGGTATCGTGTTTGTAGATCAGCCCCAACCAGGAGGTCCAAAGACTTCGCATCCATGATGCGTTTGCAGCCATCTGCGGGGCACTGAATACGAGCGGCCTCCCCTTCCTCCTTGATCTTCTGGCCGAGGTATTGGTTATAACAGTTGATGCAGTACCGATGCCCACATTTCATGGCGAATGACTGAAGCCCTTTTTCATCCTCACAACAGATGTCACACATGAAACCAGGGATAATCTCCAGCTTTGGTGGCCCTGTCGTACTTGGTCCCAACCCAGCGTCCTCGAGTACCTTCCTTGGCCGGTCCATGTAGTCCTCGATTAATCGTTCTTTGTTCCATCGAAAGTGCCGTAATAGAATAGCTGCATCCTCCTTCCGGATGTCGAGGATCATATTGACCTCATCAATGAGGTCATCTTGCTGGGCTTGAATGTCCTCGGGGTGGTAGACCTTGAAGGTGATATCGAATTTCCTCTTCTCTTGCTTTTCGACAGCACCTTTCTGCGAGTAGCCTAGATCTGGTTCAGGTTCGTCGAATCCGAAGTCTGTTGGATCACAAAGTATGTCAGCAAACCGTATCATGAGGGGGACGAAGGGAGATGAGATAGGTGCCGTGGGAATAAACATACCATCTGCGGAACCATCGTCATTATCACTCTCCTGTAGCATGTCGTCGTCGCTAGACATGCCAGACATGAAGTCATCGTCGGAATCCATCGGGCTGGTATTGGTGAGTGGCGTGGGGGGTCCTTCCTTGTTTGCTGCTGCTGAGGCGATCCTCTTGCTTGACCTTTGGGTGGAGAGATTGTCAGAGGCTACTATCGCCTCAGCCGCCTTCCGCTTTTTTGATTGAGGAGGAATGGTGTCGATTGTGTTGGGGTGCTTGAACTCGTCAGAAAGAGACGAGACTCAAACAGACAGTAAGGCTGTGGATTTTGGTGACCACCAGTTCTGAAGAAAATGACTTAGTGGAGCCCAAGAGAGAGGTGAGTCAGCGAGGTCGAAGTACGAAGTGCTTGAAATGTAACGAGCGAGTCAGTTCTTGGGGCGTTGCGTTGGAAAAATGACTGCGTTCAAGTTCGAGGTTGGTTAGAGTTGCACTCCTGAATAATGGGGATGTTCCGCTCGGTCAGCGGAGCTGTGCTAATCGCAGTACGATAAGGCAACACTCGTGATCAACAAAAGACCGGGATATGAGTTTATGACCTATATTACTCATAAACGAGGCGAAGGCGGTGGGCTGCTGATTTATTCTCCGTATTGAATTAGGACAAAGGGAAAGGATGTCCGTGTGAAAAAGGGACGAAGTCACGTGTAAATATCATATGGCATTTACTACTTTGGATTGTACACTGCTGCCCACCAATTTCGATGGGAATTATAGGTAATACAGGTGATTGTGATTGCTACCAACAAAGGCCGGCCAAAGTAGTTTGCTGGTCATCTCTTGATTCTATTTCAGTTCCTTCGTGACCGCATAAATCCAAGTCCTTCATCCACTACTACTTATCCGAGGACCTTCTCGGCAGCGGAGACTAAGGCGTGTTAGTATATCCTTCAACGCATGAGGAGGGGGAAAGGGGGGCATACCGTTAAGACCGGTGTTGTCTGGCTCTTCATGAATTGACTTGACATTTCCATCTTCAAGGACAAGAGCGTAGCGTTTGCTTCTTGGACCACCAAAGATAGCAGTACCATCAAAGGTTAAGTCGAGAGCTTCGGTGAACTTGGCAGTTGGATCTCCAAGGAAGCGGATCTATGGGAAGTGTGAGCAATATTTCCATTCAAGCTACACCAGAGACACAATCTAAACAACTTACACCAGAGCTATCCTTTGGATCAAGGGACTCAGCCCATGCCTTGGTTCTACCAGCAAATTAGCATTGGTCTTTGCAGGGCTGTCCTTTCAACTTACACAAAAGGATCATTGACAGCCACGACGAAAACATTGCCAGCATCCTTCAGCTTCTTGTGGTTGATATAGCCGGGAATATGGGAGTTGGAGCATGAAGGGCCTATTCGCGATTAGCTACTTAGTCCGAGCTGCCCGAAGTTCTCTCAAGATCGGAAAACAGATAGACGACCAATGATATTCTTCAGAACGAATCAATTACATACTGAAAGCAGCGGGAACTCCGATGATCAAAGACTTGCCAGTCTTAATCTCCTCGCTCAAATTGACTTTGTTGCCGGGTGAATTCTCTACCAAAACATCAACATTGGGAAGTCTGTCGCCGACTTTGATGAAAGCACGGGCGGAGCTGTGAAATGATTTTGATGATCGAGAGGCGCCGAGGGCTAGTCTACGCAGAGCTGTTGTGGATGCCATCGTTATGATAACCTAGGTGCCGAAAGATGAATGAGGTTGGAGAGTTGAGTTGCAGTAGTTGCAGGTTTAATTGAGCGGGATTGGTCAGCTCGCTTCGCTTCTGAGCTCGACATCTGAGTTCATCCTTGTTCGACAACTCCTTTTCAACCACACAATTTCTTGTTGCCAGCTAAATATAGCCTTTGCAACATTCAAACTGACCAGAACATGAATACGACTAAGTCTTTCTGATTTTTGAGCTACTACGAATGGCTTCGGGAAGCTTTCCAGTGAAGGCTTCCTATTGGAGCGTATATGAGCCTGATTTAAACTTCTCCACTCCGACTGCTCCGGAAGATATTCAACATTTGGATTTGCGGGGAATGGGGCTGATTCCTAGGATTCTGTATGATGGAAGTTTTGCGGGGTACCTGGGTGTTTTTCCGTCCTGAACCAACTTCTCAAAAGCGCGGCAGATGTCACGAGCCTCGGTACAGTATAGTCAGTATAAAGTCTTCTGATATCCTGAGGTTCCGCAGTATTACTGCAATTATAATCAGTGCTTCTATCATGCGTCTTCTTCCCCTTCTCTCACTCTTCTTTGGGGTAGTCCTCGCAGCCCCAGGGTTGTTACCATTCTCCACATTCTCAAACATCACCATCTTCACGCCTCCATCTAACTATACCGATCCCCGCGTGCTATATGCTCGTACAGTTGAGCTTGAAGGCGGCGTCTTACTAGCAACATGGGAGAACTACAGCCCTGAGCCACCTCTGGTCTATTTTCCCATCTTCAAAAGTATCGACGGTGGAGAGACCTGGAAAGAGATCTCCCGTGTAACCGATCAGGTCAACAACTGGGGTCTCCGATATCAGCCTTTCTTATACGAGCTTCCAATATCAATTGGCAAATTCAAGGCTGGGACAGTTCTCCTTGCAGGGAATTCCATTCCTACGGACTTAAATTACACCAAAATCGACGTCTACGCAAGTGAAGACAAAGGCTGCACCTGGGAATTCGTCTCCCATGTAGCATCAGGTGGAGCAGCCATCCCTGATAACGGTATTCCGGCAATCTGGGAGCCATTTCTCATGGTCTATGATGGCAAAATCGTTCTCTACTATTCCGATCAGCGAGATGCTAATTACGGACAAAAGCTCGTACACCAAGTCTCGGGTGATCTGCTGACCTGGAATCCTCTGGTGGACGATGTCAAGTACCCAGTATATACGGCTCGGCCAGGAATGACGACCATTACTCAGCTACCGAATAAGAAATACATGATGACCTACGAATACGGCGGTGGTCCTCTGGCATCAGGCAGTACGACATATTCTTTTCCAGTCTACTACCGCATCAGCTCCAGCCCGCTAACCTTCGACGACGCACCCGGCCTCCCTCTCATTTCGAACGATGGCACACAACCTACTAGCTCCCCTTATATCACGTGGTCGCCGGTGGGAGGCGTGAATGGCACCATCATCGTCAGTTCGGGGAGTCTTAGCCAGGTATTTGTTAACCAGGCGTTGGGTGATGCGGGTGCGTGGAAAACGGTGGGGACGCCGGAGGGTGTGTCGTATACGAGGCATTTGAGGGTGTTTCGGGAGCGTTCAAATCATTTGTTGATTATGGGGGGTGGAATTTTGCCGCCGAGTACGACGAATAGGATTTCGGCTAGTGTGATAGATTTGCAGAAGAGTTTGCTAAGTGCTAGTTGAGGTGGAAGATGTGTGTTCAGAGTGGTAAACGAATTGCATGATGAGCATCCAGCGTGTCAGAAGCAATGGAGCAAAACATTACAGCCGGCTTCTGAAGTCCTCCATCTTGTCTAGCGTCCTAGATAAATCTAGATAACGGTCCGCATTAATGAAAAAGACGGATTTGCCAATAGAGTCGAAATTGAGACTTGCTTGCAGTGGGAAGAAGAGGACTGTGCTTGCCGCCAAAGGGTCAACTAAACCCCAGTTTGTCGAATGAACTCCATGTATGCATATGCTAGTGCGGTTCAATCTGTCGTCCCTCGTTCTATTCTTTCTACCACAATTCCGACGACGATACGACTCCAATTCAAATCCCCACATGTCGAGATTAATTTGCGAGGACAGCAAAGACACTGCCAAAACTGCTGCGGTCGTAAAAAAATAGCGCAAAGGTATACGAAGTACCAAAACAAGCTGGAAGAAAGGAAAGGGTGAAGAAATAGAGGGTGGTTTCTCTCGGTCCAAAGACCGATCCCACCGGTGCAATCAGATGAACGGCTCCACCCGCCTAGAACTAAAGATCAAGATGGAGTCTTTTACATCGTATTTGCTTCGACGGGTACGGTGTTCCTTCCCATCGAGCGTTTCCTTGACAACTTGACACTTTACCCAGGACCGCGCTATTTTTCAAGGAACTCCCAGCGAAGTCTGCGTTGTTCCTGCATTGTTCGCAGAACGCCCATGCCACCCAGGGTGTCGTCAGACGGTCAGTTGTGAAGGCCCCTACCCAAATTGAGGGGTTGGGTTGGGTTGGGTTTGGTTTGGTTTGCGACGAGAAAGCAATGAGAGCAGATACTTAGCAAGCAACAAAAGAAGGCTTCTTGAAGCATATAAGCAAGTCTTCATGTCACAGACCCTATTTCGAAAGGAGTTCAGTTGACGGAAAGATAGGATTCCGGAATAATAAGCTTCATGGTAAGCCCGCAGCTGCAGTTTGAAGGGGTAGTTTCGCTTAAGCCCTACAAGCGTGGTTGCTATGCCGTCGTCGCTTCCCAGTGTAAACACATCGTGGCGATCCCGCAAAATGAGAGAGGCTGGAACAAAACCAACCTCCTCCAATTTTGCCTCTAACGTATGAATATTACCTGGAAGAACGCTTGTGAGCTGAGTTGGAACCTACATCAATCTTCAATCTGCTACGCTTTCCCCATCTATCCATATATTGCACGTTGAGCTTCTCTAACATTTCTCTCAAAGCCGTTACTGTACCCGTACAACCTCATCTACCACCTTTACCACGACTCTCGATTACATTCTTCGATATCAGCCATCTACATTCCTTTCAAACCTTAAACACCCTTTTCAGAATTCCCAGCTTTGCTGCATTCCACGGCTGCGACTCCTCAGTCACTCCGACACACGGAGGACGGGAGTGGCAGACTCGATAACGATTTGAGGTTTCATATCATATAGAGACGCGATGGCACAAAGATTTCAAGTAGGGTGGATGAGTACGTTTACACCAGCGAGAGAGAAACCCCGGTCAAAGAATGTCTAACTAACACACGACACCCACAGGATTGATACCGTTCCTAGGATACCACCATGTGCTTATGATACTGATTGCAATTGCAATAATATTACTCTGTAAGCAAAATACCTTCGCTGGAACATTCTCAAACACATGCTAACTGTCTCACCCAGCGCTGTTATTAGCAGGATGTTCGTCGTCATCACCACTCATACCCGGCATCTTCCTAATCTCGCTCTATTACCAAACCTACACACCCGTACCCTCGACAGCACAAGCGGACTTCAACGTACACAATGCCATATCAAACGTGGTTGGAAATGCAAGACTTGCAGCAAGAGTCGGATACTTCGGCATCTGCATCAACCCAGACGGAGGATCATGGCTCTGCAGCAACAATGCCACGGCGCTGGCGAACGAAGTCTCTCTTGCGGATGACCCATTGAATCTGATCTGGCTTGCCAGTCAGTTCAAGGACATGATTGTGTTCCCATACTTAATGTATGTATCTTCTGAGACCACTTTGTTTTTATCATTCACTAACATATCAAAACAGTATCATCGCAATCATATTCGCATTCATCTGCCTCCTCCTCCTCGCCACCTTCCCCGGCTGGCACGAAGAAGAGGACGCCAGCGGCAGCGATCGAGAAGTCAAGCCCTTTCCCTCACGCCCAGTCTCGCAAATTGCGCTCGCCATCATCTTCATCGGCTCCATCTTCATACTCGTCTCGGTATTATGGCAGCATACAGCTTCCGTCGCTGCATCCATCATTGCGCAAGATATGGGCAACGGGAGTGTGAAGAGTGGAGTAGGCACCACGGCAATGGTGCTGGGTTGGTTCGGGTTCGCCTTGCTGATTATTGTTACGATTGGACTGCTGGTTATGATATTAAGTATCAGAGTCCTGGCTGAGACATTCTCGTGATCATACGCCCACAAAATCCAAAAGTTTTGATTGGATTGAACTGGATTGAGATGGAGGAGCAATTTGAATGATACCTTTTCAGCCAGCGAGCATGAATGAAATTTGACGACGACGAGCGAGAATTTGGAAATCGGTTCTCCATCGATTTTGTGTATACAAGGGCAACGAAACGACAACAGCATTTGGGACGGAGTTTTACCAGAAATTGGGATTTGAATTTGGATTTCGCTTATTTTTTCTGGTGGTGAATAGGGAGGGAGGGTGGGTGATGTGATGAGGTGATGTGTATGGTAATGAATTAACGGATGGGCGGAAAAGGGTTCTCCTCGTATCTGTATGTAGCTCACGAGAGGGGATGAAAATACACAAGACCATCATCATAAATTCAGTACTTATGCTCTGCACTACGTGTAAAGGCTCAATTTTGTCAACTCTATGCTATAACATAATTTCATAAACTCATTATTTCCTTCTCCTAAACCGACTCCCAATCCCTGGACCCCCCTTCGCCCCCGCGTTCCTCAACTTCAACCTCTTAAAATTCTGGTTCGCCAACGCAGTAACTTTACTCGCCCCTCTCCTAATCTTCCCATCCCTCCCCATAACCTTCCTCTTCTGCTGATCCGGCCTCTTATACCTGGTCCCGCCCTCAGAAGCCGTATACTCGCTCTGAGAATCCGAATCGAAATTCCGCGCCTCTGCAAAATCTCCTCCTTCCTCCCCCAGCCCCTCCACCGCCTGAGACGCATCCGCTGCCTCTGCCTGCGTCTCGGGCACAGCGTCTTGGGTCAGCTCGTCCTCGCTGTCTTCGTCGATGGGTGCGGGTGGTTGGAGGGAGGTGGAGGGTTTAGAGCGTACGGGCTTCATTTTCACGCGGCGTGTAGTGCGTTTCTGCCCTTTTTTCTTGTAGACTTTTAATGGTTGGCCGTCTCGGTCGTGGCCTTCCGAGCCGGAGCTGTCGAACATTGCTTCGTCGTCGAAGCCGCCTAGTGGGAGGCGCGGTTGGCTGTCTTCTACTACTATATCTTTTGGAAATTCTGCTGCTGGTGCTGCTGGTTTGGTAGGCGGTTTGCTGCTATTTCCACTTCCCCTTCCACTTCCAGTTCCTGGTCCTGGGGTTTCGTTCTCCATTTCATGCAAAGCGTCTAGATCCTCGTCCGCGGCTTCTTCTTCCATCTTGCGGAGTCCGGCGAGCATGCTGCTTAGACCGCGGACGAGGGGTTTTCGTGGGACGCGGGCCATTTGGGGGGATAGGTCTGCATCTTCGTTTATGGGCGGGAGAGCGTTCCTGTGGGTGTCGCGGCGTAGGAAGGAGGGGGTGGAAAAGTGGAGTTTGGATGTTGAGGAAGGGGTGTGGCCGCCTTGGCTGTTGAGAGTGCGGTTCTTGAGAGGAGTGGCGAAGGGGTGGAGAATGGAGCGAGTTGTTGATGAGGGGGTGCGGGTGAGTTTGAGAACGTCGTCCGGCCTAGATTTGCGAGGCGTGGCTTGTATAGGTCCTTGAAGCGTGGCATTATCTGCTTTTGCTTTTGAGGGAGTGCCGTCTTCTTGGAGAAGGTCGAATAATCCCAGGACTTGGCCATCCTTTTGTGGTGTAGGTCCAATGACAGTCTTCTTCGAGGGTGTAAATAGGTTTCGAACAACAGATGGGGAGTCGTAAGGATCTAACTCCCATGGCTGAGCAGCGCCTCTCGAAGGTGTCTCGATTACTTGACGTCGTTTCGTCCCTTCTGCATGCCCTCCTTGACGCTTCCGTTTTTGGGGCGTCTGACGTTTGCTTTCTTTTGGGGGTACGTGGAGTTTCCCGGAAAGGATATCTCGAGATTTGTTGTACTCTTTGTATTTTGCAGCTACACAAAGTGTTAGCTCAAGGCCTTAGAAGGTTCAAATAGTATGTATCACACCAATATCAGGATGCTTCTTGATGTCGTCGCGTGAAGCCTTCTGACCATTGTTTGCCGCTGCGAAGTTCTTTTCCCATACTTTCAGATCTATCCTCAGAGAATTTGACTTCTCAGTCAGCTCTTCGCGTTCTTGGTCCTGCATTATCCCCACAAACCAGGCTTTCTTAATACCAGGGGGGGCGGCTGGTTGCAAGTCGCGTTGCAAGAGGAGACTCCAGAGGGTTTCGTTCTACTAATCATGTAGATTTCATTGTGGAATCAAAGATTTGTCAAAACCCCGTATGTTTTCGGTATCTTAAACGAATTGCCTATTTAACATAACATTTTGAATTCAAGTCGTTCTCGTCCAGCACGACGCGTCGTTACTTTCTTTATCTTATCGGACTAGCGCCTCGGCCCGCGATCGCGATTAATCGCCGCCACCAGATCGGACCACACATCATCGTCAACAATTTCATCTTGGCTGGGTATTATGGCACTTTCGCATCTTCTTCATGGACGACGGAGACTTGGATACGAGGTCCAAAATCCTGCAAACAACCTTGGCTGAGATCTCTTCTCGTCAAGAAAACAATGATTCCGAAGAGAACTGCTGTGTTATTTGCCTCGAAAGAATCACCGAGTTAGCCATCGCCCAGCCCTGCAAGCATGAAAGTTTCGATTTCCTCTGCTTGATCAGTTGGCTTCAGGAACGGGCTACATGTCCACTATGTAAGGCAGAAGTTGAGACCGTTCAGTACGAGTTCAGGGAAGACAGAAACTTCAAGACTTATAATGTCCCAGCTACGAAAGCTGCTCAGCCGCCACCTTCAGATACCTCGAGACTCAGCTTGGACCCTCGGTCGAGAAGACCGTATCATTCCAGACGACCATATGAAACTCCACGATTTCTGCCGACTCCAGATGAAGCCGTACTGAGACGCCGCCACATATACCGAAATCAACTATACTCTCTTCATGTTGGATCGAATCGCCTCTCGAGGTTCAGAGACTTGACTCCGCAACTATTCAATAGAGATGAGGAGCTGGTATCTCGAGCACGGAAATGGATACGCAGAGAACTACAAGTCTTTGAGTTCTTAAGTCCTGATGGGCCTTCATCCTTAGACCGCAGAGCGAACAATGCTGAGTTCTTGCTGGAATATATCGTGGCGATTTTAAAGACATTGGATATTCAAGCCAGTGGTGGTCAGGCGGAACATATGCTGCAAGATTTCTTGGGAAGGGAGAACACAAGACTATTTCTTCATGAAATGAGAGCCTGGCTAAGAAGTCCGTATACCTCTCTAGAAGACTGGGATCGAAAGGTCCAGTACAACGAAGGCCGTAGTGGAAAGGAGTCAGAGATTTCCACGCCAAATCAAGAAATGAGGGGAAGAGGATACAGGGGCGTTGGACGCCCTTCACACCAACCTCGAGATGGCGGACGGTATTCTCCTTATAGTCGTCCTAGCCAGACAAGACCGGATGGTTGAGCAAGGCCTTTTCTTGATAGACTCCACATCAATTGCTAGCCCACTGTACGCGGAGTTGCAAAACTCTATCCCGCAGTCTTGAATTTGGGATTCCATATACCTTGCGCCCATTACCTAGCCATCAAGAGTCGGGCAATGGCTCCTGAGCAATCCATGCCGATGCACATTCACATGCACTTGAGTGATTCAAAGCTGCCGATTTCTTTGATTGGAGGGCATATAGTAAGGCGAATTCATCAATCCAACGATATTTCCAACGATCTACAACGTCAAATTAGATTTCACATAAGACTCTTGACTCGAAATCAGTCGCCTAAAATATTTCAGACACACAGAATGCCTAACATCAACAGCCAAAGTACTGGCTTTGACGCCGCCGGCGCATCACACTTAATCGATCCAGCCTCAGACGACGCTATCGGTACCACTGTCGAACATTCGGTTGGAAGGGGTATGGGATACAACTACGACGGCTCTGATTTGAGAGTTGAATCCACGGGCAACCATTCGTCTTCCAGTCAGGCCCATCGAAGTTCGACCCTTCATAGCACAAGCCGGCCTAGAAGAGGTATGAGAGATGCTAATGCAGATGCCAACTATCATGATATGGTGGCCGAAGTTTTAGTCAGTCGGATTGCTGATCGAATACAAGCATCAGACTTGGTCACTCCTAGCACTCATCATACAAGTAGGCCTAGAAGAGGCACAGAAGATCCTTTCGACGGCTCCATTCGCGAAATGATAGATGCAGGATGGTTTGAACGTTCCGAGGCTTTTCGAACAGCAAACCTCACAATCTCTTACACGGACATCTATGGCGGCACATACGAGTTTCGCCCAGACCCCGCTTCGCCTTACCTCGAGCACGACTGTCCTGAGCGCTATGCCCAGTCTCCAAGCGCTTACGAACGGCATGTACGAAGACGCAATGCCAGTTCTCGGCGTTGATATCACCGGGCAACCCCCTCGAGGGACAGATACGCAGGCGCAGATCCCATGGTTGATATTTGGATGTATACATGGTATCTGACAACTATGGTAGACATTTTAGGGGCTTGCGCGATAGACATCATGTCTCCAGCTCTTATGGGCATTAATGCCCGTCCATTCATCGCGTCACTATCAAGGGCAAAGACGAGACAGTCGACCGATTCTATGACCTCTAAGCGGAGTTTTGAGTAGGCTAAGACTCGCAAACCAGAAGTGCAGAAATATAGAAACTCGTTAAATTCAGCAAGTGTAATTTGATACCCCATGTGAACCTAGGTAGTCATTCCAACTTTCATTTACAAACCACTCACTCCATTCTACCCTACTCACTCTACCTTAATCCCCTCACTCTACCCTAATTCCCTCACCTTACACACCAAACTCCAAACCCCCAAATTCCAATGCCCAATTTCATTCCACACCTCACTCACTTATACACCTCACCATCGAAGGATTATCCTTAGCGCATCAGCGCATTAGCGCAGTAGCGTCGAAGTCCCGTACGCGAAAAACCCATCCCTCATCGGTCTCCCCGAGTCGCGCCACTGCCACCGCGTGTCTCTTGAGGGAGAAAACATGGATAGTGCCACTGTTTGTCTTTGGATAGAGAAGAATTATGGGTTGTGCGGTTCTGTATCGGGAAGGCGGGCAGGTGCGACTTGCAACGTATTTTTGGATGGCCAGTTAGAGGGAGGGAGGGAGGAGTGAGTGAGTGAGTGATTTTTGGATTTTGGCTGGGAGGATGGATGGGTGGGTGGATGGAGGGGTTTTTGTTTATGTTGGGGGAGGGGAGGGGAGGGGAGTATTGGTGTTTAGCTGTGGGGGGTTTGTGGTGAGGGAGGGTGAGGTTTGTGATGTGGTGCACCTTGTTGCTGGTGGTACGGTTGGGGATACAGCTATGCATATTGCGAGATGGAGACTGAGGATTGTGTGTTTCTTTGCTGTGTATATATACCTTACTAAGCCGTATCAAAATCAGAACATCTAGTTTGTAGACACAGAAAGAAAGCAAAGAAAGTAATGCGCCCTCATAATGCACGTATTTGTTCTTGTAGGAAACGTTCTTGGATAATGGCAGCTGCACTCTAGAAACCGCGTTGCGAGAAACCGAAACCTGCTGCATTGATTCGGAGCATAGCGCTAGAAGACTACTCCTGTTTCCACGGTACTCGCGTGCTTCAAAGCAGCGGCAATAGCTTCCCTCGGTACTGAGAAGATGGCAAGACGGTGCTGCAGTGGATGGAAAGGGAGATGGCGATATGGAGTTCGAGGAGAGTGTGTGGGAATGTAGGGTTTGGAGATATTGGGGCGTGAGGGAGGGAGGATGTGTGGGTTAATGAGCGGAGTGTTGCGAGTATGTTGGGTAGTGAGAGTAATAGAGAGGTGGGTTGGTCAAAAGAGTGTTAATGGAATCATTGCAAGGAATCATTAAGTCAGTACCCTATACTTTAAGGATATTAATCGTAATGCTTGCTACGAAGCTGAGCGAGGTTATTCAGAAATTATCGTGCATTAAAACGCAGACAATGAACATGATCCTCCTTCATTCCTTCCTTGAACATTCTTCACCAAAGCAAAATAACACAAAACATAACAGCAAAGAGACAGCCATTTAACGACGTAGGATCTTCAAGATGGTACTTCCACACCCGACTCCCAAGAATCGGTACGGCGTTCCCGAAGTCATCCGTACCAGGACCTGTGTCGGGAACCCGTGTCACGGATCAGGATGCCAGTGCCTTTTGAACAAGAAGAAGGTGAGGAGCGAAAGCAGGTCAAGAAAAGGGAGAAAGGGAAGGTGGAGGATTGATATAAGGGCAGGGTTGATGCGTGACGGGAGTGGCGGTTTGAGGAGGAGATGAGGTGGGATTTGGGCTGAGGAGGGGTAGTGGGGGTGGAAATGAGGGAGTGTGCTGGACTGTACAGTAGCTGGGCTGGCTTGTTTCGAAAGACATACTGTACTTACTGTAGCTGGACACATGATTGGTCCTGTAGGGTTGATTGACAAGCTGTAGTGGTTTAATATCCAATTGAAACAAATGGGCTTGTAAATAATTTATCTGACAACATGACTGCCGAGAAAAGGTTCTAGGTTTATAGGATAAGGATGCCATGAAACATGAGATCTTAAATAAGGGGTATCGAGGACACGTGACACGGTATCTGCCTGGCGGAATGAAGGGAAGGGTACAGTAAGACAGTTCTTCAGCTCGCAGCATGGTTCCCTTTATTGAATGAAAGTACATGCAAGTACAGTACATGAAATCCAAGAATAGGATTCGTATTCACTCATTATGGTTTACCGGGCGGGCGTGCCGGCTTGTGCATTGCAGTACAAGGGGTGCCGAAACTTGGGGAGGCTTTCCGTGTCATGTTCTAGGGACTCGAAAAAGGTTTGAATTGCGTTTGGAGGCTGTGTAGAGGAATGAAATGAGATGTTGGGGAACGCTTCAGCAGCGGATATCCGTGAAGGTTCGCAGTTCCAGAAGCACTGGTCTTTCTTCGTGGACCATGGCAGTCGGTACGGAGTACGGAGTAGGACAGCCAAATATCCGAGGTTTGGCGGTTCTGAACTATTGGCACTCTGCATGCTGGCATGTCACTTGGCAAGGAAGACCCAACCCATCCCATCTTTAGAAACCGGAGTGAGTCTGTTCATGAACAATGACATTCACGCGTCGCGGTGCGCGCTTTCTTGGTGAGTTTGACAGATTAAGGTAATTATATCCGCAAGGCAATTGTCAGAGCACACCCCTGACCACTCTTCATCATCCGAAAATCCCGTGAGAGTCCAGACTCTGTGGCCTTTGCAGTATTCTGCTCATCAGTCTGACTAGATATGGACAGATTTGGACAGATTTGGCAATGTTCCTGCATAAACTTTCATAAATCACTAGATGTGCAGAGAGTGAAAAGTGTGAAAAAGTGTGAAAAAGTGTTCAGAGTGCAGTGCTGACGCGACGGCGCGGGGCCGCGCACTTATTGGTTGAATCGCGGCAGATCATAGTGCGACGCTCGGTGCAAGCCAAGCTCTAGAGATCACGGGCAATTGGGGACGGGCCGGTATGGATAATGGAGTATGAAAAAGACATTCAACAACAAGAGTAGAAGACTACTGTATACTATACTATACCGGTGGTATACTGGTATTAAACACCGTAGATGTTACAGGTATTTGATGAGCATGTTACCTTACCTTGGGATAAATACAACAGAATCTTGCTTATCTCTCCATAGAGTGCACTCGTGTTGAGCAGGAGCAGGATCCCCCCATGCCAGCGCTTGTGCCAAGAACAGACAAGTACCCAAATTGAGGGTGTGCCTCTAGAAGAAGCTGTAGATAGAACAGATCTTGATTGGCACGAGAGATAGACTTAGACCCGTTCCTGACTAGCAGCGGGGCCGACATAGTCCCCCCCATTGGCCAAACAAAGCAAAAGCTCCCATTTTCACCCGCTGGTAATCTCGCTTAACTCTCTCTTTCGTCAGCCCTCTCAATACTCCACTCCCCCGTCTCGCTCTCGCAGTCTCTTTCACTTCTCACTCCTGACTCCACCGTACACGAGCCCATCGCTGTCAAATCTCACACCACACCACACCGTCGTTGTCGATGTCTTCCATTCACTTGCAATAATCTACATTTTTGTTTCCAGGCACATTCGTTACGGCCTCGTTTTGTTTCCCCATCCATCATCATTGCATTGCATTGTCCCCAAACAACAAGTGCAGTTGATCCATCCCGACCTTCATTCCTCGCGTGTGTGTTTCAACCTGTGAACCACTCGGACAGCACATCTTGTCCTGCAAACGGTCGACTCGAAACATACACGACCCATCCATCCATCCATCCGTCACGCACGAGTCTTTCGTCACCGACGAATCTACCATCAACACCACCTCCTCCTGCGACTGCTGCTATTCACTCGCCCTTGGGAGAGCGAATCATCTAACCTGCGGACCGCCTTCAACGCGCGAGTGTTGTGTGAATCTTCGACCCGACCACGCGATCGAGTCGACCAAAACCCATCAACCCCGACCTGACCTCTTCCACGACCTCTAGGCCGCGGCCATCCCTACATCCACAACCCTCTACACCACATCGGACATCATGAAGTCGATATCCTCCCTCGTTGTTTTCGGCGGCTGGCTGTTGAGTGCTTCGCATGTCGCTGCTTACGGTGCCTCATCTCCTGGGCCCGTGGTATACAAAGGATGTTATTCTTCCAGTACCGGCTTGACGATGAACAGCTCGTACACATTCAATACTCAGGGCTACTGTCAAACACAATGTGCGCCCTTGAGCAAATCTGTCCTGGCAACCAAAAGCTCGACCGACTGCTGGTGCGGTAACGAACTACCACCCACCGCCGATTTAGTTTCCGATTCGCACTGTGATGCTCCTTGTGCCGGTTATGGATCAGACATGTGTATGTGGAATGAAGTCTATTGGTACGAAACATGACTGACATGAAAAATAGGTGGTTCTAGCCAAGATTATTGGAGTGTCTGGCTAAGTGGAGTGGCTTCGAGCGCCTCCACAGCTACTGCAGATGACACTTCAACAACATCATCCGCTGCCCAGTCCTCCATCGCCTCCACCGCCACATCCGAGACATCTACTACACCAGCTGTTGTTACCGCACCCGGATCCACCGTTGTAGTCACAGCAGCCCCTGGTACAGCAGAATCCTCAGCAGCTGCTAGTACTTCCGCGACACCAAAGAAGGGGGCTAACAAAGCCGCCATCGCTGCTGGAGTCGTTGTGGGCGTTGTAGTTATCAGTGCAATTGCCGGAGGAATATATTTGTTTCTCCGGAACAAGAAGAGACGTGAGGTCGAAGAGGAGTATAGAAGAAATGCTGCGGTTAGCACCTATATTGCTAGTGGTGGCAAGCCTCCCAACAGCAGCGGTGGTGGTTCATCATTCACCGATACTCGTCTTGACCAAGCTACCATGGCTCAGCGAAGAATGAGTGATGGTAGCATCGCCGACAACGAAGATTATTCAAGAAGGATCCTCAAGGTATGAAGTACCACTGACAATGCCCCTGTAGCCTTTGCTTATATGTATACATTTAGGTCACCAACGCTTGAGTCATCCACCATCTCACGACGAACGAGTTCCTACGTGCTTTAGCCTCTCCTCTGTCATCTCGGCGTTTATGGTCCCCTGGGTACAAATGGTCTGGTCTGGTCTCCCTCCTGTGCTTAGGACCGCTGGTGTTATATGTGTATAGGTGTGGCGTAGCAGGGCGAATGAACTCATACTCTTTATCTAAGAGTTATGTTTGCTATTTTCCATCTATCTACGATACGCGGACGTTCAATAAACAACGTCTTTCACACCGTCCTGTCCTTTCAGAGATTTCTTGCAACTTTGCCCCCTCAAGCGACTCTTCCTTTTCGACACGCGATCCTTCAAAGACCTTTTATCGATAGAAACCCATTATAACTCTCGAACCCCCCTTGGACCTATCATCGACGTCTAATGGAACGCGAAATACCCTACCCCCGCGCCTCCTTGCCTCGATCTGAATATTGTATACTAAGTCATCTGTTGGAAACGGATGGCGATGGAGGAAGAAGGCGGTGGATTATGTCTGGAATAGTATAGATCCGATATAATGAAAATGAAAAACAAGTACATTGAAACTAGTCGGGCAGTGCTTTTCTGTTGCTGAATATCTTGCCTGTTTTTTGAGACCTGATACTCCAAGTGGAGAGTGCCATGCATGACCTTTATGTGGCTTTGCGTCCAGCAAAACGTCATAGGCTGTTTTGAGATCCGTTCCATCGATCCATCGCGTTCCAGGAGAGGATGGGTGTTTGTGTTTGTGTTTCCGAATCATTATGCGTTCGTTCGTCATCGGCTCCAATCAATCAGTACTGTAGTTTTGGATATTCTGGATGCATGGATAGACATTATCTGCCTTGATGAATACTTTGCTCATACTATACTGTATCTATGTATCTCTCAGTCACGTAATTAAATACTGTACAGGTTCTTGAATATATTCATGTGCAGTAGGTACTGTACTTTGCATTGAAGCTTAAAACATACCGCTACACATTGGGATCGAGAGAGATGCTATAGCGATGGATCGTCGCTCTATGACATGTGTGTGTGTGTGTATTTCGAATCTTGAGTAATGATTATTGATTGTCGATGTGTTGGCTGTGCTGTGCTGTGCTGTGCTGGAGTATGCTGGGCTGGAGTGAAATGTATATCATTACTTTACTACTGTATTCTTACTCTACTTGAACTTGTATTTGAACTGTCTGACAGACAACTACGTACGATGTCCAAGTAGTTGATTGAGGTGGAGGTCTGGTCTGATCTAATCTGATTTGGAACAAATCACTGTATACTAACACATTCAGAGGGACACTGTCAGAGGTCAGAAGTAATATTGCAAAGGTGGAAGCCGCACTTATACATTTATCCATCTCAGCCAAGGACAGTGAAGAACTCACAAGTGCCAGACCACCAGAATACGAGACCCATATCTTTGATGACCAGTCAGACCTGCTGGACTTAGAGTGGCCTGCCGATGAACAGAATGCGAACCCAGGGCAGCAACAGTCGATTCACACGGATGCTCTCGGAACAGCAGTTTCATCTGAAACCACCAATGTGAAAATAGAGGGCAACTGCCACGAGAAATCCCAATCCACTCCATCTTCTTCGATTACGCAACCCTCAATAAAAACCGACTTGCCAGTGGTTACACTAATAGAAGACGCATCGGCTCCCTTAGAATCTGTTTCTAACCAAGCCAACCAGAGCAATACAGCCGGGATTAATAGCTCATCTTATTCACCCGTAGTTGGAGCTTCGCCAAAAGGTGACAGTGCTCCTCATCGTGCCCTTTACACCAAGTCAATCCCAAGTAATACAAAATATGATCTGCACCGAAATAGCAGTGTCGAAAACACAAGTTCGCCGGAAAGTCCTTTCTACAATCTTAGTCCGTACTCCGATCCCGACGTTTCCTATGATACTGTTAGGAACTCTAAAAATTCCGCTTTATCAGATGGTAGCGATGGCCTGGGGGTCGGCGCCGACCAGATGGAGCATGTCCCAAGCGAGTCTCTGCCATATTTGATCCGCGCGGTGATGAAAGCGAATGCCGAGGAAGTTCGTACGCTTCTGGAATTCGGCCACGATATTGAGTCTCGCCATCCAACCAGTCATCGGACAGCACTATTGCTCGTCGCAGCTCTTGGCCACATACAGCTTCTACAGATGTTACTTGCCCGGAATGCCTGCGTGGATGCGAAAGATATACACGGCCGAACAGCCCTGCACTACGCTGTATCTGAAGGCCATTTCAGATGTGTACAATTGCTTCTGCTTGCCGGAGCTTCTGCTACCGTCTACGACAGATGGGGTGAATGCCCGTTGCACAGAGCGGCTCGATATGGTTCTCTCAACAACGACGGACTCAAAATGCTATTATCACAACATCCGGACCCTTTACGACTGCGGACAGCTTGTGGTTTCACAATTCTCCATTTAGTTGCCAAATGGGGCTCGTCAACTACGGCAAAACTTATTTGCGAGACGCTGCAAACTGTCGAACATCGTCCAAATTGTCCCATGAAGGTCATTGATAGCCACCCTATATCAGAACCATGTGACTGTCCACTGGTCTTTCCAGGGCTGGATATCAAGTTCATTTGGGTCAAACTGCACTCCAGAATGCTATCTACCGTCGAGCCCCAAAACAAATAGAAATGTTACTCAAGTATTCTCCTGTCGCTGTAAATGCACCTCAGCCGAGGGAGCGCTTTTGGCATAACACCGATTTACAAGGTGGGGTCGAATGGGAACGCCCGCTTCACTATGCCATCAGGGTGAAATCAATGAGCGGAGAAGTGCAGGAACACTTATTCGATATCCTCCTTGAAGCTGATCCAGACCTTAGTCTTCTCGACAGTCGCGGCCAGACTCCGTTAGAAGTGGCGATTCTCTTCAAAAATCAATCTGCTGCTCGAGCTCTCCTTCATCGTAGAGCACCTTTCATTGGTACCAGTGATAGCTCAGGGAATAAGTCATTATTAGGCAATGCCATGGAACAATTCCCCCCAACAGTTTTGTTTGGACTGCTGTCGTCAGCTTCAAGGTCAAAACTAGTCACGAGCAGAGAGCTCGACGTCGCATTTATTCACGAAGCGCAGAGAATGTGCAAATGGGATTATATCCAAGTATTCCTAAAGTCTCGACGTGTGTCCAAAACATGGCTGAGAACAATTTTGAATGAAGAGCAAACTCTCGAATTCGCTATTAGAGAAGCAAATGAGGATGCAGTCAATTCCCTTCTTGACGCTGGCGCTGAACCTGCTACCAACTTTACAACTTCTGAGGTCGAATGGTGTCAGGCTGTTCACATTGCTGCCGAAGGATGCAGTACCCAATCCTGAAGATTTTGCTGCGGCATGGTGTTTCAATTTTGACTAAAGATTCCGCTGGTCGTTTACCCTTTCACCATGCTATTCAGTATTCTGATTGCAGTATGATCAAAGCTTGCCTCGATGCCATGATATGTGAGTTGGATAGAACAAGTGAAGGATTCGACAAAAGACTTTGGAAGTTGATGTATATTGCAATTGGACTGGCATGTCGCTACGGATCTGTGGAGAAGGTGAAGCTCATTCTAGAACTTGCAAAAAAAGAGAAAGTCCTAGAAACATTTTCAAGTGGAGTGTTAGACCTAGCTGTCGCACTGGGCCATACACATATCGTGGAGTATCTCCTTGAACAAGAGTATGACCCGCAGGACACACGCAAGATGCATGGGACTTTACAGTCTGTCCTGGAAGTGTCTTTTCACCCCCTATATTCTGCCAGGGGTCAACTGCCGAACAAATTGGTGGACTATGAAGAATGTAGAGCGATCATTCAAGGAGTAATCGACCAGAAGGAAACGAAACCACTAGGTCGAACTTCGAAAAAGAAAGAGAAAAGCTCACGTGCTCGGAAGTCTGGATAGGCGGCAATCCTTCTCTCGACCGTTAGTTTCTCCTTCGCCACGAACAACATTTATGAAGGGAACGATTTTCACTATACCCTAGGAGATGATGGTCGGCGGCGGTGTGGATGGCTTTGCTCCCAATCTAAATCATCGGTGTCTATACATTTATATTAATGGGCACCATTTTTACACAGTTCGAAACATTCATTTGTTGTTCGCACCAGTAAAGGGATGTTGGTTTGTCTTACACTTAGCTTTGGGTAGGCTTTATATATATCGGGGTACTCCGAGCAGAGGAATCGATTCAACCAGACGATCTACAAGCAGGACCACCACAATTGTCGATGAAATACACGGTGAACTTTCCTTCTAGGCCCTACAAGAGATGACTAGACAAGGGGTTCTGAATGATTACTAGAACATATGGGTTTTGGTCAATGACTTGATGATATGAGATGAATTGCGTTGATGCAAAGGAAGAAATGATATATAGACCCATATGGATTACAAAGTCTCCCGAAAAACAAAATGTAACTGTCAGTTTTCTTGACGATGTTGGAACACCGCCGTAAACTCACTTCATGCTATCAGTCACCCCAAATATTGAATTAATCCGTCTACGAGGAGAATATATCAAACAAAGTGACAGCAACATTGAAAAAGGGGGGCGTCTCGGGCGGAAGAACAAAAGTCCGCCTTAGCGACCTCGGAGCACATCATCGCGATCGCGACTAGAACACTGCACGCTACTAAAACCTTAGACCTCCCAAGCTGGTCCAAACACTCACTCACTCTCCCCAATCCGCTCTATTTATTTTCTCGAGCTCTCTTTACACCTCCAGATCTCATCTCCCTGCTTGAGAATTAGCAATTGGGAAAACAAGAAAGGAATTTCAACTTATTTTATTCCAAGAGAGACAGGTCAGAGCGGTGAATAAAAAGAAAGAGAGATGGCGGACATAGCAGCTGAGATTGAAGAGGGGGGTTTGAAACGCACGTTGAAGGATCTTTTTGCGGGTGCTGCTGGTGGGATTGCGCAGGTGCTTTTGGGTGA